CCAGTACAGTACCATACAAGGACACCCTTTAATGTGGGCTACATCCACCGCCATTAAAACTTTTATTAAAACAGTATTGGTAGAAAAACAGTATTGGTAGAGAGATATTAAAATTATAATTCTCGTTATCTTTATATATTTTTCTTGCTATTAATGAGTACTACAGCTGGATAATGACCACAACCGGATGTCTCACACACACCCGGGACACCACCACACACTGTACTGTACAATAATGATAAACCATAGATACTGTACTGTAATGATGAGGCCCATATAATAATGAATCTGTATAATAATGATGATTACACATAGCTAACAATGATGAGCTGCAAGTGATATCCAGGGTTGGTTAATAATATGAAACCCCCATAAAATTATATAGCTAATTCCCAGACAATTACTGTACTGTACGTATATAACTCCCCCAGGTGTAACATCTCTCTTCCAGTAACTTTCATAAAGCAAACAGAAACATTAACATTAAAACAATTAAAACCAAATGTAGGACAGTTTTTACACCCTGCAAAATGATTTACTTCATGAGTTTTTTTAAATCTTCTGAATATGGCACGCAAAGAGATTTCTAAATACGTACTGTACTGTAAGCTGAATTATGATATTTACCAGAAACATATCTCACTTGTCCAGATACTTTACAAAGGAGAGTGTAACACTATCTGGGTTTAAATACACTTGCAGCCTAATAAGGGGTGGGGTTATATCACAGTGGGTTCAATAATAAACAAATAAATCTTGGGCGTGTCAGACCAACATTTTGTACAGACAAGGTCACGTAAAGCACAAGATTAGGTGGCCACTAATGTGACTGATAAAAGAGAGCTTCAACATATAACATCTTTCCCTGTCAACATTAAGAATAAATGGATATAACAATCAACACTAAACATAGTACAGTATAGAACAGTATATTACATAGTATACAATATAGTATATTACACAGTACAGTATAGTGCACAGTACAGTACAGTATAGAACAGTATATTAGTATATTACACAGTATAGTACAGTATATTACACAGTACAGTATATTACACAGTACAGTACAATATAGAACAGTATATTACACAGTACAGTATAGTACCAGTGACAGTCATACAGATACAGCACTAAGTTAAACTACGGCATTTAATTCATATACAATAAATGAATTGAAAATAATGATTCCAAAATTATATCTTATATACAAGCCTGGGCTAGACAAATCCTGTATCACTTAGCCATTGGTTGCAAATTTACATTCCGACTAACTTGGTCATTGAAACAAACTGAAGACTATCACTATAGAAATAAAAAAAAATCGCAATCATAACTCTTACAAAAATGTCTTAGAGGTGTCAGCTGTGAATTTAGGCTGAAGAAATTTGTCTTGTATTTACATAGTCATGCCACATTTGACCCTAAATTATCTTGGCTTCACAACATGTCAATGGATCTTCCTCATTTTCAACCCACCTTAGGCAACCCAGTGGGAGGAAAAAGGGTAACTGAAACCACTTGATTCAGACTCAATTAAACTCTATAAACATATCGCCTGTCTCAGTCCAATCCTGTATCCTGAAGCCAACATAAGTTCCAACTGCTAGTGCAACTATTCATCCCAACAGGAAGAAATTTTACGAAAACAATAGAGATAGGCTAGAAAATAACTCCTCCAGCACTATGCAGCCCTGAAGCAAGTCTTGATCACCTAAGAAGCAACTACTGTACTAAATTTTTAAGCCAAAGATTATGTAATATAAAAATTAATTAAAGTACAGTAAGCTTTTAGCTACCGGTAAATACTACTGTGAACTACGTAGCCCAAGCCAAACACCTTTACATAATAAGAGGTAAAGACAACAGTGTGATACCATCTATTCAGTAAGAATGTACAGTATAGCCAAAACTGAAAGGGAACTGCAGCCTGGTAAACCAATATAGTCAACCAGAACTGACGGGTAAGTTGTGCACTAGCCAATGAACAGTCGGACCCAAGAAATAGGTGATTCCATCATATGATGAGAGTCAGTTAGGTTAGGTTTTTGTTTTTCTAGTGTGTTTTTGTGTATTTTTTAATCGCTTAGCCATTAAATTTTTTTCTCGAAAAACGTCCCACGAAAAAAAATCGATAAAAAAATCGGTCAATTTCCGATGGAAATAAAGGTCATATTCGGTCAAAACACAAATACACTAGAAAAATATATTTTTGACCTTCTAACAGATGGGGAGGTGGAAGTGCAAATTTACCATAGTTTTGTTAAATATACCATAAATATGTCATTAACATTGTAGCAATATGAATAAAAAGCATTTCCATGTTTCCAGTCAAGTATTGCCGTCCGGTCAATGTAAAAACCCTGTAATAAATGATTACTTGTTTGATGGTAAAAATATAATTCAAACACTGTAGAAGGAATAAAAATCACAGTTAAATAAGACAGATAACCTAATGTTATAAGAGGTTGAGTTAAACTAACGTCAGCAACAGTCACTGGGAACTTAGGTGTGAATGACCGTGATTATTACCTCGCAAATTTTACTGTACTCTTTAAAACACTTACAAATTAATTTTAAAAAGATGTTTTCCACTTACTCAAATTCTGCTCAGAGCCCGACCTTCGCCAGGACACTTCATATAGCGGAAAATATAATTAAATCGAGAAACAAATTTGAGACTTGGTGTTGTTGAGCAAATCTTCCGACACGGCTAACAAACTGTAAAGTGGATAATCCAGCTTTCTTGTGAAGATATCCAATGGTTAGATAACACAATATATCATCACAGATAACCAACTACACAAATTTCAACAGATTTGTCAAGTCTTCAATGTAAACACTCAGACAGAGGGCGGCCATTTTCCTCGGGATGTTCCCATTAGTTTTTCTGAGAATTTAAGCCAATGGAAAAAATACTATCATTTCGAATTAAAAAGTATCAAAAAAAAATTACAGAGCGTATTTATAAATTTAAAACATTTTTATTCTACTCTGAAAAGCATTGTAGTTAAACAAGCTAGTTTATAAGACCTAAATGCTCTTAGTAGAGAAAAAGAAAGTTCCCATTTTCTATGAGACAGATGTAAACAAAAGCCTGGAGGAGGAGGGCGGTAGGCGTGGCGACACTCACTCTCCTCTACTTAAATACATGAATAAATAACTATCTGTTGATTCTGTTCCGTAATATCGTCTTACAAGTTCACATTGTTCTAGTATATAGGTATACGGTACAGGTATATTTACTAGGTATTCAATATCCATAATGCAGTTATAGTGTACAAACTATACTGTACTGTAAATGAGAGTGCAGGAACACTATATACATGACAGCATTGGTAATGTACACAGTGCATAACGACTACAGTTAACTAACTTGTGTTCGCCATCTGGAACCACATATTTCCGAGGGTTCGGTTGTAGTAGACTGGTTCCATGTTGTTAATATTAGTGGACAACAGGTATATAGACGGACGGAACAACGACAGGTATCGATGTTGCTTCCTTTTTTTTAATGGGATAGTTTAGCCCACCCGGGGTTGAAGCCCCAAAACTAAATATGCTATACTGACAACTAAGATTAAATAATAATGACCCTAATTGAAAGAATAATTACTTAGTTTTTTTTATTAGACAAAGGATTTACTGTAAATAAAAGAATCTAACAGGGTGACATTCACCTTAAAATTTACTATAAATCAGAAATGTCTAGAAAAGTATTAGAAAAACAAAGACTGAGAAGTGAAGCCAAAAATGGGACATTAATTAAAGCTAATGAACCGAAAAATTGTATAACCAATTTAATGTATTTAAATGTAATATTCTCAGGCTAACGAGCCGATAAGTGGTGAAGAGGATAAAACAAAGGCTCGGAAATAAAAACAAGGAACCGTATAAATAGGGCTAACGAAGAGGATTAACTATTAAAAAGACGACGTTTCGGAATGAGTTGTAAAAAATACACTTTTTTTAATCTACAAAAACTGAAAGCTTGCACGGTTAAATTAGAGGTATGGGTCCAGCTTTTGGTTGTAATAACTACATTTTCAAAAAGATTTACTAGGACTTAATATTACTGTTGCTGGTGGCAGAGTTTATGTGCGTGTGATTTTGTTTCACACATATGTAATTTAAGAAATATATACTGTATATAAACCATGTTATGAACTTAATATCATACCCAGGATATTAAAATATTTCCGATGTAATTGTTAATAACTTTTAGACGGTGTTAAAGCATTATTCAACGCATTAAATGAAGAGCACAGTAGATTATACCACACTTTCTACAGGTGTGAAAAATATTGTCGAATACCTGTAAATCAATGTTAATTTAACATACAGTACAACAGGTGTGTATTTCAATAAGCTGTCGATTAAACAAACGGATGAGGGGACATAAAACAAAAATGTGTATTAGCAACAACAAAGAGTAGAAACTTGTTTTTGTATGTACAGCATAGCAACAGTGTGTGACTGTGCGGTCAATAGAAGCGAGCTAGCCTAGTGTGTGTTCGTGTTGCTCCTTAACCCAACACAGGTTCACAAAGACAGAAGTGTCATTCCGGCACGTGACATACTGTGTATAGGCTTCTAATTCTCTTAATGCGAGCCAAATTCTTTGATGTAATCAGAGAAGGATGTGGTGATTTGATCAACAGATCTCTTAATATTTTGACCTTTTTGTAATGTTTTGTATACTGTCATGTTTAAACATTTGCACATTAATCCCTAGTCGTAATCAAAACGTTACATAACATAAAGCTATTATGATTTCGCAGTATTGCGTTATTAGGTGACAAAGTAAATATTTTTTTCAGCTAATAAGTTCTCTAGCGTATTCGTCTTAACTTAAAAAAAATGCAATTCAAAGAGGTAAGAGGTTACAGATGTGCTTTGGAATGTTAAATGTGGCGGTTGAGGGCAGGAAACCTGTACGCTAGTACGCCATCTAAAGCTCGTTGAGAGCGAGATTACTGTTGGCAGACCAGTAGCAGGTCCCGCCTCTTTCTCCACTGTAGAACCAATCGTGTCTACGGTTATGTTCCCTCTCCCCACCACCGTGTAGTACCGAACCGAAAGTAACTTTGGACAGTGCTGGTAGCAAGTGTAACGCGTGGGGTGTAAGTCAGCCGGTCTCTGGATTATTATAACCCACACAATGTCTGGATTAACTAAGGAACAATTAAAAAATGAACTTATATCACACGGAGTCGATTTACCGTCACCAAGCGCTAGAAAAGAAGAATACGAGCAACTCTATCAAAAATATGTTGCTCCAGTTGAACAGTCTAAGGGGGATTTTTCATCGGATGATGAAGATATGCCTGTAAACGACGTAGACGCCCAGGTCAGCTGTAATATTAGTGTTCTTCAGTGCTAAAGATACGTGATAAAAAGATAAAGTTAGTATTGAGGTATGTAGTAAGGATTAAGGTTTGCGCGGGAAGAGGAAATGGTCGCCGTGGAGGACTGACTCGGCCGCGGCTTCTCTCTCAGTGTTGTTGTTGACACCGTGTTGAAGTGAACAATACCCATTACCACCTATCATTACACCTTTTTTTCCTTCACCAGCAAATACCATGGTACGTTGCCTTCTTAAAGTAAGGGAGTTAGCTTACTTACTGTTGCTAAATGTTATTAACGGATGATTTTAACTGTTGAAGCTTAAAAGTACGGTAGTTGAAACATGTGGGCCAGGCGGGAACCACGGCCATGGGCACACCTTAGTTGTCTCTACTATCAAAAGGTTGACGTTCACACTTATTAATCGTGCAAAAGCTGACACCTAACACCACAAGTTTCAAAGTGTGGCAATTCTACAGATCTCTTGCATACCTTACATATGTTATGAGTGTTATTTAAAAAAAATAGAATGAACATTCACCACCCTGTATCAACAAGTACTGTTATCCCTGGGATTTTTTTTACCCTCTAGCAAAATACAAAAACAAAAAAAAACACTGTATTATCAGTTACGTTAGCGTGAATTACTTCATGCAGGTAGTGTTGAGTGGTTTGCTTCTAATATTAGACAGTTCAGTGATGGATTTATTAATTTGGCAATCCTGGAGCAGATAGTGGTTAATAGATAGGACTAACCCGCCAGGGCTGCATAGTGCCGATGCGGCCATATCACGTCCAGAAAATGCCTCAAATTTCACCATATCATAGTAAGTTCTGTCTGTTTACTTTAAAAATATCCACTTTTTAACATATTTCCACAAACTACAACAGTGGCCACTATAATATAACAATGAAAATCCGGTGTTTTTATAATTGTTTTCAATCAATTTCGCTCACGGGTTAGTCCTATATAATTACCCAGATAACTAACACCAGAACGCGTTGTTCGATTTTGTTAATTTTTTCCACAGATCATCTTTGGATGAAAATAATTAATAAGGGTCAAGTCCTGTGAGGTTCTATCATTTTTATTACTATCTTCCAAAGAACAGCTGTGGAAAAAATGAACGAAATCTAACAATGCGTTCTGTTGTTGGCTATCTGTTCCAGGATTACCAAAAGTACTTATTTTAATTTTGTTACCACAAACTAAGCTATGAATAGCCTATGATGACAAATATTGTATCTACCTTCTTCACTATCTGAGTATTTGTCAACAATATCTATTTGTGTGCACACACACAATACAGGGTGCATCAAAAATTAATTTACGTATACGCATTGCCTTACAAATTGTTGTGTCGATCGCATTACAACAGGTACATTATCCTTACTTCTTGATGTGCAAGGTCTCCTAGGACCCAGAGTATTGTTCGAGAACTCATATATAAACAAGTGAAGAAACTGAGGCTGTTGTAATGCAAGCATTCGCAAAATTGCCATTGAAATTTTTAAGGCAGTGTAAATATATTTTTGAGATGCCCTTTATTTATTATTATATGGGACTGCAACAGATGAGGGATGTATGTGCTCAATTGACCAATTTTATTCCATCAATTTCAGGCTTCATCTAACACCAGTTTGGTGATTAATGGCTTCGACGTCTGTAAGCTTGATGATGATGAACTCTTTGCTAAACTCAAATCATTTGGAGCTGTCGTTGGGCCCATTGTCGGTGAGTCTTACCAGCATGTCAGTTCATCTGGATTAACAGTGGCAAAAGGTAGCAATTTTACTATTGCACTATTAGGCAAATAAGGTCATTTTAAAATTTATAACTGTATAATGGTGTATTCTACCTCAACTTCATTAACTGTTAACTACAGTGCTGGGGCAGCTACATATTGCCTGTGGCATCATCACAGAGACAACGTCATCTGTGTCTTCCCTATTAGTGTTGACAATATTAGCTGACAAGCTAGTATTGTAGTTGTTAACTGTGTTGGGATTGGTCAACAGAACACGAGGTTGATCGTTGACTTTGATGTCAGTGACTTAGTTGAAAACAGTAGTGCCTTCGGAGATAACACGTGTTTGTTGTTTTGTGGCAGATACAACTCGCATGGTGTACCAGAAGAAGTTGTTTGCCCTGATGGGTGGCAAAGTGGTGGACAGTCCTACATATAATGGAGATGTTGATGAAGACGAATACTCAGACAGCGAAGAAGGTGAATATTGCTCATCGTATTTATAGATTACTGTACTGTAGTTTGTGATATGTAATAAAATTAACATTGTGCATCTTTTTAAGTAAGCTTTTCATTGGATGAAAGTTTGTTTGAAAGTTTAGTAGTTTGACTGTATGTTAGTCTAAGCACTGTTGCTTTATTTGTATGGTATATCTGATGTGTGGCTTTCTTGTATGTTTACTGTGAATGGTGTATCCTTAATCAGAAGACTCGTGTGTCATGCGTAGAAACTGAGTCTTGTATGCAACCAAGAATTTTCCTTGAAAATATGTGCAGTATAATTGGCATGCAGTGCTTGAATCTCATTAACAGTATAAAGGGAACTTATCGAGGGAACTGGTGGACTACATCTTCAGCTGCATAAGTGTAAAAGACATTTATTTAAACTTACATTCCTGTCTTTGGAAAAATATTCTGTAATAAGTTACGTTCTTCCATTATGCTGGGTACAGGGCGGATATGATTAAACATTATTAATTTTTATCTTTCAGAACCAGTAGTAGAGGCAAAACCAGTTCAGACTCGCCCTTCTTTTGAAATGGACTCCACAAAAGTAACGACTACTATTCCTTCTTCAGAGATACGTAAACGTATTCTCATGTCACCAGGTGCGTTCATGTGTTTGCAGTATAATTTACATGACTTTACTTTCTATATATAAGCTGAAAAGCAGTATGGGGGGTTTTAAGTGTCAGGACCTATGTCATTTTCTAAGCTAATAGGAACTAAGAGTGAGAAGATCTCCAGTATATGTACAGTATATCATAATATTTTGATATGTTTGCACACTGAGACCCATTGTTTGCTTCACCAGATCATAGTCATATGATCTGTGACATCACACAACTTTTCTGTAAAGGCAACATTTACACTGCAATTATGGCAAAAGATAATGAGCAGCCAGGGCTTTCTGTGACACGGTATATAATTATGATGTGTACATTTCCTTTAGTAGGAGGTGAAAGCAACCAGACCGGTCTTATATACGACCCTGAAAGACACACCCCTTCTCCTCGTCGATCTCTCCGCACTGTTACTTCTTCTTCATCAGAGACTATCACAGTGCGCAGGTTCATCAACAATGGCAGAAGGTGTGTGTTATACTGCATGTAGATTTAAACGCTAAATAATTCTCGTATTATTACCGGTGATGCACGGTGCTACTCGCATATACTGTACAGTAGATCAGTGGTGCTCAACTTTTCTGTGTGAGTGGACCACATTAGATGGGCAACTGTGTGATGACAGCCACACATTGACTGTAATGTGAATAAGTGTAGTAAATACAGGTAATATACACATTAATGACATTGATTATCAAGTATTAACCATATACTGTATTGTAAACTTAAAGAAATCACTGGCTTTATCATCAAAATAATCAGAATTTTATTATACAGTAGTGAAAAAATCAAGACATGCATGCCACACTTTTGATTTCTTTCTTAGTGTTTGTTTTGAGGTTGATCCCAAATACTATGAACATACCTGCAGCAAACTTTCTTAAGTTTACAAATGTGTCACATAAGAAAACCAAAGCCCAGATCCATTCAGTCAGAAAATGCTTCTTGACATCTTTCTTTCTCAGTGAGAAAGATGTCAGTTTCCTGACACAGAGCAAAGAATCTTTTGTGGACTTTACCTCTGCTCAACCACCTGACTTCAGCATGGTAACACATCCTCAAATTCTGCATCTATCTCAGACAAGAAACTTTGGAACTGGCAAGCCTAATGAATTCACATTATACAGGAACACTCATCACATTCTTGAACCAGAAAATTTTACTGCACAAACCATACTGGTGGATAATGCACTGAAATTGCATGGGGGGTTCAGCATCCAATTTCAGTACATTTTCTTTTATTCTTGCAACTACACCAGTTTTACTTCCAACCATGTTTCTTGTACCATCAGTTGTCACACTTCTCAGTTTATCCCAACTCAGGTTAAGCTTGTTCACAGATTCATTATCATGAATACATTTTCAGCAGTAGTAGTACCTTTCACACACTGCAGTGCACACAATTCTTCTGTAATTTCAAAATTGGAATCTATGCCTCTGATAAAAATTAAAGACACTTTGGTGCTGGGTCATAGACTTTTTAAGTGAAGTGACCTTGTTTGTTTTCAATTCTTGAAGCAGTGAGTAGTTCTTGTGACCTGATTCATAGTCCCTTTTGATATTTTACTTCTTAAAACTAGATATACAGTACTTTCATGGCATTTCAGGCAAATGGTGTCATCTTTGTATAAAATACAAAAAAAAATAATCATTAGTTCACCTTTCATTGAATGCACTGCACTCTTCTTCAATTTTCCTCTTCTTTTAAGTTGAAGAATGGGATTTGGCCCCTGACATCTGTAAACATCAACCTGGAAAGTCGGAGAAAGATGTCTCTAACGCCTTGACTACGAGGCTATAATTAATATATTGTACCAGGTGTTCATAAAAAATCTGGATGATTTGATTCTTTAATATTTTTCATACTATTTAAGATATAAAGCTAGAACCATGCGTAAACACTAGAGCAACTATCAAAGTTTATTATTAATCGATTTGCTTGATTACTGGCTAATTGATTGACAACTATTTTGACTGATATGAATTGGTTGTGATAGACTTGCCCCTTGGCCTCCAAGATCACTGGACATTACGCCATTGGATTTCTTCCTCTGGGGTTTTGTTAGAGATGTTGTACACAAGACCAAGGTTGCCAACATCCATGAACAATGAATCAGGGTCAGGGATGCAATAGCAATGGTTGATGCTGGCATGCTTGAACACACAAGGTAAAAAATTTAATATCGATTGGATGTTGTATGGGCGATCAATGGTGCACATGTTGAAGTGTATTAAACATATATGAAAAACTTTGAACAGTTGCTCTATTGCTTACACATAATTTTAGCTTTATATCTTAATTAGTTAGGAAAACGTTAAAGAATCAAATCATCCAGATCATTTATGAACACCCTGTATAATTAACTGCTACTATTTTTATACTATAGCTAAATACATTCTCCAACATAAATTACATTTATTGCTCATGTTGCTCCAACTAGGTTGACAGAATGGAACATTTATAGACCCCTGTACTACTTGTTGCTATCAGTGTGCATCTTTGCTAGGCTTCACTGTGCCTTTACTGTAGGGGTTGTGAGCACCCATGCAGTAGATCATGTAAAATGATTGGGGTGGGGACCTTGGGAGCCTTGTGGAAGGATAACACAGTTACAAAACATACTTTTTTTGGCAGTTAGAGAATTAATTTAGAATACTGTACACTATTTATTTAAGGTTAGTAGGTAATAATCTTTTTGTTTTGCAGTGGTACTGTTACTGATCATGTTGACAGTAAACAAGTGAAAGGCACCTCAAGCAGTACTGGCAACAGCCCCAGCAAAACATCAATCTTACTACGCATTCTTGTTAAATTATTCTTCCTCGTTCTCATCATTGCAGTTGCTCTGTACTTTTACCAGGTACAGTATTGTCATATTTACAGTTGTAATATAGGCATAGATTTAACTTATACCTTTAAGAAGAGGAATAAAAAGGTCAAGTTAATGATCAGGAATGTTAAGAAAATAAAAATACGGTAATGAAAGATTATATCGTTATTAAAAACTAGTGTCAGATTGTTGCAGTTCAGGTATCCCTCGCTTAATGAAAGAATTTGGTTCCTGAAAAACCATTACGACCAAACTAATGATAAATACTACACAACTACAGTAATTTTATTTACTACCTAACACATTAAAAACATTAATAAAATACAGTACAGTAAACCTTTGGTATATTACTTTATGGAAGGGCAGTCAGGGCTCACCACATGGCTGAGTAAGGGTCTTACTCAGGAAGATGAGGAGGGCTCTCCACTTTACCTCTTTATTTTCTGTCTTAACTGGGAACTTTATGTTTTCAGAATAACCCCAGTGAGAGTCCATTCAAAGCTGTAGAGGAACTGGCCCGACAGGCTCTGGAAGCAGCTGTAGGTGAAGAAGCAGTTGATAGTGAAGTACCATCTGTGGAAGTCCATGCAGAACCTGCGGCAGAAGAAGTCTTTCCTACATCTGCAGAGTAAACCCTTGGTTATAGACCTGCTACAGTCTTGGTCCCGATTAGATTTATAATCTGTCCAAATTAAACCTGCCATTCCTGCTGTCTGTGTATTGCAGGAATATATTTACAAAAAAATTCACTATAAAACTTGGTCCCACTTTCCTCCACTTTGCTGCTCTTTCCTCTGTAATTATGGGACCTTTTTCACCTTGCTACCCTTCTTATCATATGTAACAATATTAGCCTGACATTTATCAACACAGTGACAATTGTAATATATATATTGGTAAAACAGATTGTGTGTATACAGTATGTGTGTTAGTAAAATATTTAATCAGAACTGCAATGTTTCAGGTTTCTTAACCATTTTCTAATTGACATGTTTGATTAAACTAGGCCACATTCATAATGAATGTAGGAATGTCAGGAGACCTGGATAAATGCTACATGATGATACTGTATTGTAAGTAATGAACATGGATCAGTAATATGAATCTACTGTACTTGAAAAGCTTTATTTAATTAGATTAGCTATCGATTGATTTCATGAGGATTCACTTGAATTTACAATTTTTCGGTTACTTGTAAGGTAATACCTTATAATGTTTGGCTCATTCACAGGGAATATCAATTTGGTATAATAATGACAGATGTTTATGATAAAGACTCTGCAACAAATAAATTAGCTTACAGATGAATCTCATTGAAAGTAAAACATTTTATCACCATGCACACCACTACTCTACAGGCTTGGCAGGACAGAGAGGCATGGTACTTTCTGTAAGAAAGAAAAGTCAAGTCAACAGATCCTTGAATTACAAGTTCTACAACACATATCACAGACATTTAAATTGTCTAGAATAGACACCAATTACCCGACTCATATTAGAATTTCTGCTTCAGTATTTCCCAAACATGTATGAACTGTTTGACGATTTTGTATTGGTGATACATGGGTATTACTGAGCATATTTGTACACTCAAAAAATTATCTTTACAAATCTTGTACAAAACAAAACGACACCACGAACAAAGGTTTTTGGTAAAGGCATGAGGCATACCTCGCATTGGTAGCCCTGAGTGGACTGTTCATTTCAAAATTCATCGGAACCCTCACGAAAGAAACTTTTTTTTACCGGGTGTACATATGTATGTATATGTATTTTCAGGATCTCGGGGTATACTCCAGTCTTTTCCCAGTAATTAACATGTTTGTTCTATGAATTTAATTCAAACGGTTGAAGGCACCATTGCAAGGTACTTTTTGTTAATGTTTTGTGAATTATATACTGAATATCTTTTTTGTTATTGTATGTTTCACCTAGTCCAGCCCAAATGTCTTTCTCTCCTCTCAAACACAGAAACAACATGCTCAAGGTTCTCAAAGTAACACATTTACACTATACAGTACAGGTTTCATCTCAATGTTGTGGATATGCTCTCTCTCTCTCTTGGCTTTCAGAGTGATAGTGAATTGTCTTAACCCTTTCAGTTTAAGGTTAAAGTTTAATGCCTAAGGAAGAGTGGATTTCTGTTAAAATGGATTGTTTTAATTTCACACTACTGTAGTGTCTTGGTATCTTTCCTTCAGGTAAGTCCTGAATTCAGTGGCTGCTGTCATAGTGCAGCTCTGGGTATTCCAGGAGTGAAAGAAAAAGTAATAGAAAATGATACAGATAAGATTGCAATTTTGTTCTATTCCTAGTCTTTTTTTTCTTTTTTTCCCAATAGTATTACCAACCATATACTGGAAGTTGGAACTGTAATATACTTGTTACTTTTGGAGTTGTTTTATAAAGAAATCTTATTTATGATGTGAAATGTTAAGTAAAGTGAGATGATTTGTTAAATATAAAGACAGATGCTTTTATGATGCTCAAAAGTAAACATCCAAAAAATTTTCTACCTTACAAAGCAAGGATTGAACTAACCGGTAATGTAGTACTGTACTGTACAAAGTATTTTCCAGCAGGACTCGTGTAATGTGAACTAAAAGTAAAGGTTATATAGCAGTACTTGAGGTTAGTTTCAATGCATAATGGGCTTTGATATTATACTGTAGTGTATTTGTAAATATGTTCAGTGTTGGCCAGAGGTAACTGACTGCAACACATGATGGTGACCAGTAGTTTAAAAAAATACTGACCAGTGGTAAAGTTTCCACACAGGTAATGAAATGTGATAAATAATGGAACTGCCAGTTTTTATGTTCTGTTTTATGTAAATTATGAGGTTATTCATATCCTGTAACACCTATGTATGGAGAATCCTTTTCTGATAGTATTTATGATATACTTTATAGATGTGCTCTTGAGTTTTGCATCATAAGGATATAGTGTATGAAAAATCAGTTATATTAGGAAAAAGAATTCAGGAAATTGGTACAGTATTTTAGTAATACAGAATATTAAATCTTCCAACTGCTCAAATATCTGTTTTTTTTGTTTTTTTTTAATATATATATACTGTACTACAGATTTACTGTATTATATGTAAATTGAGTTGATATTCTTACTTTTCCCTCATATGTAAATTGTAGTAAAAAAAAATATCACTTTATGGATTCATGTTTCTAGTGAAAGTAAATTTATATTGATATATTTCTTTCAAGTAAAAATTTCACCATTTGTATTAAAAAAAAGAAAAAAAAAGAAAGAACCTTGAGGAATGTGGTCGAGTTATATTTTACATTAAATAGCACATAGAAATGTCTGTACAGTATTTTTGTACACTTAAAGCACATTGTTATACATATAAAAGATGTGGGAATTTCCCTACCAGAGCTATTTCCCTATAGGGACATATTATCCCCAAATTGGCATACGTACAGTATTTATTTCACACTTGCTGGAAAGTGATGCTTTTCCTGATTTTGTGAGAACATGAATAAAACAAACTGTTTGAACAATCATTACACTTTTGTAAAAACAGTATATGACAGTTAATAAAAAATTGACTTAACAAACATGATTTCTGGTCAGTGCTATTCTTATAATCCTGCTTTTGTGTTGTTAAACTCCTGGGTCCTCACTTGACGGTGACTCCATTCACTTGATAACTTTTTACCATAAAAGCCAGACAAAAATGCAGCTACAGTACAACTGTACATAACTTAATATGTTTTGTACTATCTGTAGTTCAATTTATTCTCTCTCTAATGCTGATACAGTAATGGCATGATTTTCCTGCCCATACAGTTACAAATTCTGCTCTTGTCTATACTGTAGTTATTTTGTACTTGCCAATGGGGGCATTAAATAGCTTGGAGCTGTGAACAAATGCTTGGCTGAAGGAGACAAATCATTGTTGCAGCTCAGTCAATGGGAGGGAAAGATATATTGTACAGAGACTCTCTGAAACACTTCATACCAATGGAGTGAATATTATTGCTTAAAGAAAGGATTTCAATTATTGTACTGCCCGTATTGCAGGAAAGTCTTGTACAATAAGTATCGTGCAAACTGTTAACACAACTGAAAGTTTTAATGATGTGGGAACATGAATTATTCATTTGTATTTAATGCTAATTTGGTGAAATAGGTACCTGCTTAGTACTGGTTTCTCTTACAAGTATTTGCTCCTAAAATCTGAGAATAGTTGGACTTATTCTGCTTGATGGGCAGTCTGAGGTCCTTTGTGAGTGATACTGTTTGAATTCCAGCATCTTTTCTATAAATCAGATTATTGAAGAGGTTTCTGTTTATCATTTCAAAAGTATCAACATTACAGTATCTGTGAAACGAAGCATTTACGTATGTTTAATTTTTTGCCTTAATGTAAACCTGCTGTTTCTTGTAACACACCAGAAGGTTTATATTAATAATATTAAGAACATTTTGCTTTTGTTTAAATCTTGAACAGGACTTGATTAGCTGTTCAGGATATCGAAAGTAGAGGAAATATATTTTAATAATTGCATACGAATCTTATAGTCCTGAAAGTTGCAGTGATTTAAAGTTTTCTTTTGTAACCATAATACTGTAGTTATTAAAAGAGACATATGAGGTTAGTTCGTTGGGTTAGATTTAGTGACGTGACCTTGAGACAAATAGTGATACTATGTTGCAATATTATATGGATCTGTGGAGTTGATTATTATATACTTCATATGACTAACATTTAAAGTTATAAGATGAGCATTGTATCTCGACATTTATTTCTGAAAGTTCAAAAGTTTTTATTATTTATTAGGGTCTTAGTACAGTACTGTACTTTATAGTAACTTAGTAACAATAGATGGAGGATAGTCTTGGAACTATCTTTTTGTAGGACAATAAATGACTGACAATATCTACTTTGTATGGCTTATTACTTGGTTAGTGATTATGTGAATATGAAGGGAATTTAAATGACGCTAGATTAGTCATTCTTGAATAAAGATTATACAGTAATGGCAAAATTGGTCCAAAAAAGTTGTACATATCATCCCTGGACATATTGATACAAGTTGAACCATATAAAGTAACAGTCAGTATATGAATATTTTATACATTTTAATACGTATAGATAAATGCAGGCAATAAAGCATTGATTGAACCATTAAAGAATATAATTTCTCCAGAGACAGCTAAAAATGATCCTTAACTGACCTTCCAAGTGGTTATGTATAGTACAGCTAATGAACATAAAATTTTCCCCAGTTAATGTTACTCTTGATTCCAGAACTGTTCACTAGGAGCAGAAAATAGCCCATTTTTACATTTCCATATACTGTAACTACAATTATTAAAGTTGTTTAATGTTCTCAGAGGATTCAACAATTCACACTCACATTTTATGGGTCCAGGATTAGACTAACGAAGTCCTGCTGGAGAAATGTTGGCCGACGAGAATCGAGATGTTGCTTCTACAGGAGGAGGCGGTAGTCTGCCCTCAGGCTGTCTCATGGGCAGCTGTGAGCCTTCAGCCCTCAACAGCCTTGAGGTAGTTCAAAATGAAGCCATGCGCATCATTCTAGGATGCTCAAAATCAACCAGAATTGTAAACATGAGGAAAGAGCTCAGGCTGCCCTCCCTATCTGAGAAGATAGCTCTACTTAATACCATGTTTTGTGTCAAACTTTTGGAGAACAATGATCCCTAAACTACAGCTCAAACTGAGTTTATGTTCCATCTAAGTAATCCCGACTATCTCGCTAACCTTCCACAAAAGACTCTTTGGGGCGTGGATAGATATATCAGTTCCTATTAATTACACCTGTTGGTAGTAAGCACAAGTTAAACACCGATGTGATGAGATGTGTCACACTAGAAACTATTAACAGACACAGAGAGTATTAAATCAAGTGAATGTTATGCTTTTACTGATGGTTCTGTGCAGACAAACACAGGTAGACAGGCTGTGCAATTGTAATATATAAAGAAAAAGAGACGATAGTGTCAAACAAGCAAAGGCTGAACAACTGGGCCAGCACAACACAAACTGAACTGACTGGAATCTACTTAGCTACAGACTACCTTATAAGAAGGTCGTTCAGATATCTAGACGGTCCGTCCCTCGTAACGATCTTCAAGAGTGAAGTGCTTCCCCATCTGGAGTACTGTCCCTGAGATATGCTAGGGACTGTCAGTTGGTTGAAAATGTTCAAAGGAGGGCCACCAGACTGTTGCCTGCACTTTGGCACCTCAGCTACCCTGAGAGATTGGAGCGCCTGAACTTGCCTTGCTTATACTACAGACGGGAAAGGGGTAACCTAATTGAGGTGTACAAGCATCTCAAGGGGAACTACTCAGTCGAGCATCCTTACTTGGAGCTGGCGAACGCTTGCCCCACAAGGGGTCACAGCTCAAGATTGAAGAAGCTGCAAGTCCAGAAAACTGTGAGGGCAAACTTTTTCGGAGTGAGGGTTGTAAACTCTTGGAACAATCTACCAGAGAGTGTTGTGATGGCACAGAGTGTGTGCACTTTCAAGACAAGACTTGACCAACACTGGAGCGGGTTCAGGTACATTCAGTAGCCGGTGCATGCCCAGTATTTGCCAACAGTGCGTAACAGAGACGTGACTGATCGGCGAAGTGGCTAACGAGCCGATCTTTTGGTGAAGCTGACAAAAGAAAAGTAATCAGAGACGTGACCGATCGCCCAAGCGGCTAACGAGCCTATCAGTGGTGACGAGGATAAAAACAAAACAAATTTTGTGCAGGAGGTACCGGTATGGCCAGCATAAGGACAGAACCAGACAATGTGATGTAGTTGTGGCCAGAATTAGGCTAGGATACAGACACCTCTGGCAAGTTAGTGACGCTGGACCCATACTGGAACACTCAGCATGTAGACTTTGTGATAAACCTTTAAAGCATACACTTGAACACTATATTATTGAATGTGACACTGTCAAAGACTTCAGGTCACCTGGCTTATTGTATCGTGAACTTTGTAATCACTATGGTACATTGAATTAGAGGTGGTAGTGAACAGTGATATTACCCACATGACTGACCTATATATACTGTTAATGAATAGATCTATTTCTTTGTGTATGAACCTGTGTCCTGCGTGGCAGTGAGAAGTGATACCACCCTGTGTTCAAGACCTGACTGAATTACTCAGAATAGGCAACCTGTACTCCAAGCTTTGTCAATAAATTTGTTAAACTTAAAAGACTTCAGCTCGCTTAGTCAGCTATCCTTAGTTGTAAACAGTCTCTTCACTTCTCCTCTCTCCCTCTTATTATTTCTATTTTGCCTGTCAACCGCTTAAAATGAGGTTAGAAGTTTCATTTTTTGGCATATTTCCTTGGGAGGGACATCAAGTCCAGTTTCTTCATTAACAGTGATGAGGTACACCTACATGGAATAATAAAGTTATTATAAGTCTTAATTATAGGAAGATTAGAAAAAAAGTAATATTAACTTGATACTACACTCCGACGTCCCCCAAAATATGTTCAGCATCCATCAATAATAGAAGTGTATAATAACACTATAATAATAACTCAGAAATAGTTTAACTCTTGGAGGAGATATAAGGCTTGATTATTGATAAGTAGGTAAATTTGGTATATATAAGGTAATTAGAGGCTTAATTATTGATAAGTAGGTAAATAGAGGAATATATAAGGCTTGCTTCTAGACATCCTTCATATAAAGTCACTTAGAATAAACATTTACACACAGTATGCTTGAGAGCAAGGCTCACCAGACCAGCCACTACACGTGTCTCCTGACCCCACAAGATATTTATATATTTACTTCCTTATTATGTGTCTATTCCATTGATTTTTGGATATGAAATCAATCAGATACTCATATTTTTATAATTAAAATAAGTACCTGAGGTTAAATTCCTTGTTTATGGTGAGTTGAGGGAAATTTGTTTCAGTTGTGGGAGATGTCATTGATTTATGTATTTTACCGTGATTGGTGTCTTATTATAGAGGAATATAGACTGACGGTATGTATAATATGCTCCACTGATAGTCTTAGTTAGATCTGCTTGATGCCTTTGACAGCATGAATCTATTATAACTGATGTTTGTAACGCCGGACATGTAAAGAAAGTGTTCATCTTTTTCTGTATTTTGAATGTCTGTGAGGTCTACCTTGTTGTGACCGGTAAATAATTATGTTGCAGTCGCTTTTCCTATATCCATGATCTCAACAAATGTGGAGGAATTGCAGCTTTCATAATACTATTGACTTTTCCCTAGTTTTGGGGGGAGTTAGGTTAGGTTGATCAAACGAAAATTGTGATGCCAGATCTCCTGTCTGTAGATGAGTGTTCAGGAGGGCTAAAATCACAATTAAATGATAATACAAGAAACGTAATCCCAGTTTAATTTTTGGCCCACATGTTTCTGGCATGCAAGAGGTGTAATCAGATGCCAATTTTACTGTACAATACTAAAGAAGACAACTTGTTTCTGGTCCTCTAGAAAATTGCCCAAAATGAGGATTTGCAATTATCATATTTTAGTTTTTTCTTTGACGGTGGATATTTTGCCATGGCCGGCAAGTTCCTACTAACACAATTTTACCGTGAGTGCACTCTGATTGGCTAATCGTTCATTACTGGCGAACTCGAGAACTATATTTGACTCTGGTGGCATTTGGCATTTATTTCACTGCGAGTTGATTGTTGTGTAGCTATAAACATACCTAACCATATTTTTGTTGTACTGTACATGGAAACTTGTCATTATAAAAGAGGCAACATTTACTGGAACCTAATAGAACCTGACCTAACCAACCAAAGAAACCTACCTAACCTTACCTAACTTCCTAGCCAGGGGGGGGGGTATTAAACATTAAGTACTTAGCCAATCAAAGCACACTCACGGTAAAATAGCGTTAGTAGGAACTTGGCTGGTCACAGCAAAATATCAACTACGTATCTCTTTATTTCTTGTTATCGGGTATAAAAAAATATCTGCCCCGTCCACCCACTGTCATTTGTGGCACATAAACTTGACAAACACTTCCCGTTCCCAGTGACCAACTGAATGCCTTTCCATACTAACTAAATATACCAAAACTAACTTGTTAATAGTAAAGGACATGGGTTCTGGTTATCCAGCTACTGTACCAACAAAACCTACCTATCCTTTGATGAAAGCATATTATTATTTTAGGTTAGGTTAAGCTAGATTTGTATGGAGCTTCCATCCTAGTACAGTACAGAACCTGCACTGTATCGTTAAGTTAGGCTGGTTCATCTTATCTATGATAAATCATATAATGTAGCAGTTGCTGAAAGTATTTGTGTGGTGTATGAATTGATTTTCATGTAAACAGTGAAACTGGTGTTGGCAGGATGTTGCACCTGGATGCAGATTAGTGTTTAAGATGATAAAGTAGCAAAAATAATAATGTAATACAAAATTTGCAAATCCTCATAATTTTTGTCGGATTTTGTTGAGGTAAAAAATACATTATTTTTCACAGAAAAACTTTTGAAAGTTCCTCGTTAACCTGCAATACCATTACAGAGTACATTACAGTATTACCAAGATAATTAAAGGATAAAACATAGAAGGTTGATGAAATCCTTTTGTGAAACTTTTGGTGAAGGTTGTCAGTGTTACTCCCTTCCTCATTGACCTGACCTGCCCTGCCTGAGTGGTAACAGCACTGTACAAGGTCTGTCTTAGAGGATATCAAACACTGCCCAGTACTGGACACATATCATCAACTGTTTATTGAGGGTTTTGGTGAACGTGGGTTCCACAGATCTGACAGCCTATTAGGGGTAATGAGGATAGAGCACACCGTCAAGTTTTTTGTACACAAGGGGGCAGTGTGGCCAGCACTGCATTACACCACCTTTACTCTCACAATTGTATACAGTAGTTGGTGGTGAGTCATCCACCCTAAGGAGAGGAGGTGAGCCCTGTACCCAACCGGCCGTCACATCCCAAGGTTTTTTAATACTTAATATTTGTAACGGTCATTCACTGTAATTTAACTCACAGTGTGAACAGCATTGATTTAATAAATATTTTCTTCTGATTATTAGATATAGACAAGAATAATGAAGGAGAAACCTCAGCGTCAGGCTCACAAAACCACCAACACCTTCACCTTCCGGGGGTTTGGCGAAAAAGTACGAGCTCTTCGTGTCAGCGCCCGGAAATTCCTTCTCCAGCGTCCTCAGACTGAAGATGGGGAGAACGTCTCCATATTCTACCAGACACTTATCAAGTGCAGAGAACTTAACCTTACTGAAGCTTTTCAGGTATTATATTTATATCTGGTGTGAGACTATCATGACAACTTTATATTTGGTTATATTCGACCTTTTCTAATGTAAAATACTGTAGTAATATGTATTCTATGTCCAAAGAGTAAATAATACAGTATACAGAATTTACTCACAGACCTTTGAAAACTTGCATTTTTATAATAATCCTCATTAAATCATTCTGGTGTTGTTATTCTGGTTTTACAACATACAGTATATACATTTCCCCATTACTACATCTCACGCCCAGATCATGTTCTCGCTTCTCTTCAGTTTGAACACCAAAAATATCTCATTACCCTCCTTTATACCTGTTACCGTACCCAGTCCCCCTCGTCATTTTAATCCCTAACAGTTTTATTATCCTGCCATACATTTAGATGTCACTTTCCTGCAGTAACATGAGAAAGGCTTCATAGGATGGTCTAACTTGAAGTGAAATATATAAGTTGTTCATTTTCCTGTCATAAATCTTTGTAGTTAAGTTTCATATTTTGATTTTTCTGTTTTCCATCTCTGAACAATGTAAGAATTTAGGTGGGGATTACTGTACATTATTTCTATTAATTAGCTAATGTTGTTGTGAAGTATTCTGATGATTTTTAATTATTGTATATAATTACCATAGCAAGTGTATTGGATTACCTGAAGATTAATCACACTAATACTACTTAGAGGGGGGTTAGGTTAAGTTAGGGTAGGTTAGTGTTAGGCTAATTTAAATTCAAATAAGCTGGAGTTTATAATTTTCAGATGAACCAGTTTATTATCTGTTAGTAGAGTATTAAGAAATAACTTTGGCGTACTCCTACAGGCATTTCAGAATGATTTGGGCGGGGACATTCAGACAACAGTCCAGTTGATCCATCAGGAAGAACATGTGGCTCAATGTCTGGCTGAACACTTAGCCATACCAAGGTCTATGGCCTTGCAGTCACTTCTAAACCTCTTGGTAGCCTTTGCCAATGATATCCCCCAGGAGTTCTACCAGCGTCATTTTTACAACTTTTTGCCGAAACTGGTGGCACATCTCTCAACTAAAGATCCTGAACAAATAGAAGGTGTATTTCTCTGTGCTGTTTCCTTATTTGTAGTTTTACAAAAGTATCTACGAGATGATCTATACGAGTTATATCACGTTCATCAGTATGCAGCTTTGCTCTCGAGTAAACGACCGTGGTATATTAATGAGCTTGCTGCCCAGAGCCTTAGTTTTTTGGTACGGAAGCTTCCTAACAAGAAGAGCTTTTTGGGTATGGCCTTTAGAAAGTTAAAGAAGGATGGAAGTCAGGTGCAGGGCTTAGGGAGGGTTATAGCAACAATGATAAAGTCTGATGTAACCCAACGCTTACACAGTGCAACTCCTCAGTTATTAACTCTGATACTGGATCTCTTGGGAGATGAAGAGATACCGGCAGGTCCGGCGCTGCAAACAATTTCATATGCTGTGACAAACATTGCCAGTCACGTCACTACTCAACACACAGACAAGAGTACCAAATGGCAGGTCTTGTGGCAGGAGGATGCTACTATGGTGTGGCCAATTTTGTGGAATACTATAGACGCACTGGTACCCCGTACAGGTTCGTCTGATGCTTCCTGCCATCACCTTCATTCTATCTTGCAAGTGGTGCAGATTTTAGTGACTTATAAACAAGGCTCGTTACTTGTAAATCTACCCGATTCCATAAGGCATTGCACGGCTCTTACCCAGACTCCTCTTCCAGATGATGTTGGTAGTACTGTTTTTAACATTGTTGCCAATCTGCTGACCACCCCACATCATCAAATTAGCACCACAACTCTTCATAAGGCAGCATCAATGCTCCTCACTTCACATCATTCTCACTTTGTTAAATTCAACTTTATAAAGCAACTGTTGGAAAATGCAAGGTTTGACACTGAGCTGCTGCCACTGCTTCTGCAGTACCTAAACAATTTAGTGAGGACTACTGAAGGGGAAGAAATTGAGAGAGATGTGTTATCTATGATGGGAACTCTTGTGCTGCGTAAGCGACCACCATGTAGCACAGGAGCAGAACTGAGCATGTGGACAAAATACCCATTGGACTTCACACAGAATCTTCCGGCTGTTGAGAGTAATATTGAGAAAAGTGTCCCATCGTTAATTGAAAAAAAGATAAGTGGAGGACTAAAGGAAGATCTCTCTAATATGGAAGAGTTGCTGCTCTGCTTGTTGTGTTTACCTCACGTGTCCCCTCTGGACTACCAAGATATGACCCCATACCTTACCTGGATCCTAAGTGATGCTGTTGAAACACTCAATGATAAAACAGAAAAAGTCATTGCTGATGATATAACTGTAATCTCCAAGAAGAAAGGAAAACCAAAGTTTGAGGTGCTAGATTTCACTCGTGACTTAAATATCAAGTATGATATCCCTTTGAGTGCAAGGAAAATATTGTTTTTATTGGGGGTTTTGGTCGAGGTGATGTCACATATTTTGACTGGTGAGGACTTCCTTGCTGGCTTAAGTCAACTTCAAATATTAGGAGTTTTAAAACAGAAAAAGCAGTACAGAGAAGATGTACATATCCTGAGAGCATTGGACTTTCATTTTACTGTAGCTTCATTCGAAGAAGATTTTGATATCATGACTGAATCATTTTTCAAGGATATTTATGGTGTACTTGCACCAGCTTTGGCCTCTGCCAATCCTCAAGTTCGTTTACTGGTGACCCATATATTCTCACTATTCCCAGTAACCTTACCAACACCACCAGAGAATTTGGGTGTTGTTGAGAATATGTTCCAGATTATGTTGAAGGCAGAATCAGTAGCAGTGACTCCCTGGGAATACAAGGACCGTTTGCGATTTTTGTCGATGATAGATGCAGACCACATAATGTATCACCGGCCAGTGTCTGGAACATACGATTTAGCTCCTCTTCTCTTCTACCTCGGACAGTTGTATATAAATTATAAAGATGTTTGGCCTCCAATCATACAGGCAATTTCTAGCTATGCCCAAGTTCTGCCAGAAGAATTATTTTGGTCATTGTGGTTTTCAAGGCTCAAGATTGTCTCTCACATCACTTGTGAAGTACTACATGGGAAGACAGTAGACCCTCAAGAAGATCTAGATTTTGAAAACGAGATCCTTCTTGATGTTGTCCATCACCTAGCGAGGCACCAAGGCTTTACCAGGGTGCCATTAAAGCCAGATCATCTTAATTACAGAGATTTATTGTGGAAAGCGATGAAAAGATTCCCTGATGTGTGTGAAGCAAGAAATAGAGACCTTGTACCAATGTTCCTTAAATTTCTTGAAGATGAACTTTTTCCAGCAGACTTTACAGTTGCTCCCATACAAGACATCAGTGTCAGAGATGGTACAGACACCTCAGTGTCTGCAGATACAAATCTTGACCAGAGTTTAGAGAAGAAGCCAGATAATAATAATAAAAGTCCTAAGACAAAATCTGCTTTGCAAGAAAACAAAAATGACCAGACACATCACAGAAAGGCACCCATTAAGTCACTATGTGAACAGCTTGCCGTTTTTTCACGGTTTCGTAACCCAAGGATGTTGGTTCAAACAAAGAAATTAGAAAAGATGTACCAGGAATTTCTAAGCCATCCATCACCTGGTCTTCAGAAACTAGCCCTTGATTGTATAATGACATATAACCACCGTTATCTCATACCATATAAAGAAAGTTTGTACAATATTTTGGATGATCAAGCATTCAAAAATGCTTTAACACTCTTCAGTATAGATGGATCAGAACAATCTGTGTTGGAAGAACACCGTAGTGACTTAATGCCAGTCCTCATGAGGATCCTCTATGGTAAAATGCACTTCAAGACAGGCTCCAACAGTTCTGGCAAGGCAAAGATTTCAGTAAGAAAAGCTATTGTACTAAGATTTTTGGCTGGTGCCAGAGAATCAGAATTAAGTTCCTTCCTTGAACTTGCTTTTGATGTGCTAATGAGTCACCTGGAAGGTACTGCCCTGGATGTGGTGGTTCGAAGCCGTGAGATTCTTAACATACAAAAAGTTGTACCTCTTAGTAGACTACAGGGAGCACTCACCACTCTAGAAAATATTATTGAAAAGATTGGAAATCTACTAACAGGCAAAGTTCCTTTCTTATTAAAGATTATTCTTTATATAGTCAATGTGGTTTCTTTGCTGCTTGAACGGCGAACAGAAATATATGAACGCAATATATCTTTTCTCAAGCATTTGAGACAGCAAGCACAGTGGAGACTCTCAGCATTCTTCCAGCGGTTTGAAGACTACTGCTGGTCGTCAGAAGAGATTGATGCTGTCTTCCAAGCAATTGTGTGGCCAAACCTGAAACGTCTCCCAGATGAAGGTATCTCCACCCCTACACCTTTGTTAGTTCTCTTCCAGTGCTGGGCAGAGAACCCAAGGTATTTTCCTTTGCTTGCTAAATATCATGAAAAAGACGCTTCACTTACTCCATTGCCATACATTGTAAAGCTGCTAAAACATGATAAATGTAGTGACTCAGTTGCTGCTGTTATTTTGAACATTGTAGAAAAGTTGCTCACTCTGGAAGATTACAACAGTGCCTCTGTCAAAGATGGAGAAAAGGTTGCAGAGCCTCTTCCACTGATTTCTCACACTGTTCAAGTTGAGAGACTTTATTCTCGTGATGGTAAAATTCAACAAAATTATGGGACTGCACTCCTTGTGCCTCACTTGGATGGCCTTTTGCAAAGTATGAAGAGCTTGGTTACCAAATTGGGTAAAGGGCAGTATGTAACCCAGCGTGACCTTAATATTCTAACAAATTTGACAGAATGGGTCACAAACAAGAGTGTTAGTGATGATCTCTTGAGTCTTATTATACCACTCATTGTTAAGAAACATATTAAGAAAGAAGATAAGATATCTCAGTTACTTGTAACCTGTTCATACCTTTTACCTGTTGTAGACAATGGTGTGCAGTATTTAAGGCAACTAATTTCTCTGTTTGGTTGCCTGGAGAGTCGTCAAGCACGAGGTGCCCTCTGTCAAGCTGTTAGTGCCATAGCTTCAGTAAATCAACATTTCAAATATCTGGCAGATACAGCAGCTGATCTGAATGCATGGAACCCAAAGATGGTTGAGGAATATGATTTTGAGCGACGATTAGGAGCATACCAGCGATTGAATGAATACTGCAAAAATCAGCAGTCTCTTGAAATGGAATTTTGTCAGCTTCTTTTGTACAATAATGCATTTGTCATTTGTCAAGTAGATGATTCATCCTTGAAAGACTTGTCAAGTGTTTGCTTAACACAGATGATTGACATGTTTGCTCGACTGCAGCCAAATCAACCTAATGAGTTCAAGCAACTTATGGTTGACAGATTCCTTCCATTGATAAGACTTGGCCTTCAGAGTGAGAAGGAGGGTGTGAGGATGGAAATAATATCTGTTCTTCGCTATGCAGTCCACACCTGCCATGCACATGTCGATAGACTAAAGGATCTTCATAAATTAGCAGATGAAATAGAAGAAGATTTAGATTTCTTCAGTAATATGGGACATATTCAGAGGCATAGGAGAGCCAGAGCCATGGCAAAGTTAGCAGAGAAGTTGAACAGTGGAGAACTTGTCTTTATGACAGAAACTCTCACAGATTACCTTATGCCAATGTCAGTTGTTTATCTTTTTAAGGAAACTTATGCCTCGGATGATTTTCTAATAACAAGTTCAGTAAGTTGCATTGGAGCATTTGCAAAGCTCCTGCCTTGGTATCCTTACCAAAAAATGCTACGGAATTACTTGAGCATGTTGTTTAAAGAAGACATTAAGTATCTTAAACTTGGAGTGAGGGTTATAGATGCTGTGCTTGATAGTTTTCATGAAGATGTTGAAGAACTTGATATTGCCTTGAGAAAGAAACCATTTGAAAAAAATCTTGCTTTGCAAAGTGTGAAGAAATATAACAAGCAAGTTGCTCCAAAAGTAACAGAGAAAAATCCTGAAGATGTAGAAGTGAAGGAAGAGGAGGAGTCCGGGTCGGGCACAGGGGACATCATCAGTAAACCACAGAAGATTTATCGTGCACTGGTCAACACTATTATCCCACAGATTCAGAGGACTCTAGCAGCCAAAACCAAAGCTGACACCGAGCACAAGTTGAACAAGAGTAAATACCCTGAGGATAATGACATTAAACGTATCCCTCTTGCATTTGCACTAATAAAACTTCTTAAAAAACTTCCTAAAAAGGTGCTTGATGCAAATGTTAACAGTGTGCTTATGAAAATGATTACCTTCTTGAAATGTAAGTCGTCGAGTATACGTGAAGAAGCTCGTAACATGCTTGTAAAAATTATGATTGAATTGGGTGGTGTTTACCTACCTTGGCTGGTGAATGATTTGCAGTGTATTCTTACCAGGGGTTTCCAGGCACATGTGTTAGTTTACACGCTGCACGCAGTTCTCTCCCAGTTACGTCCGGTTCTGACTGCGGAACACGTGGACCGATGCATGGCACAGATGATAGACATTTGTAAGGAAGATATTCTTGGTGTGCAAGCTGAGGAGAAGGAAGTGAACCAGATTACTAGCAAGGTAAAGGAAGCAAGAAGTGACAGAGGCTATGACATATTGTGTTTCACTGCAGAGTTTATATCAGCAGAAAGTCTCAGAGATATAATTTTACCATTAAAGGATGTTTTGGCTAATACACAAGACAAGAAAATAGTTAATAAGATGATTCGATGTTTAACTGAGATTGCCAATGGACTTGAACGGAATGAAAATATAACCATAACTCAGAAATCTTTATTTATATATGGAATCCTAAATGAAAGATTACCTGAAATAACAGTTGATAAGGCGGGAGCAAAAGTAACTAAGAAGAAAGGCATTGAAAGACCAGATTCATTCCTCCTTCAGCCAGAGCCAAAGAGAGCAAGGCTTAACCCAAAGACTTCACTGAGGGCAACTGCTCATGTTTTGATTGAATTTACTCTGCAGTTCTTGTGTAACCTGATGAAAAGAGAAAAATTTGTTCCAAAAGAGCTTGAGCACCAGAAGTTACTGGACCCTTACATTTCTGTGATGGCAGGTTGTATCAACTCTGAATACCCTGAGGTGAGTCTACAAGCTCTGAAGTGTGTCAACTGGCTCATTAAGTTCCCTCTTCCCTCACTTAAGAAGCAATTAAAGAGCATATGTAACCAGATGTTTGTGATCTTGGACAAATTTTCTTCCCCAGAGCTTGCTAAGGGGAAAATCTATGACCTTGTTCAGTTGTCTTTTAAGACTTTAGCAATAATTATCAAGACTGTTGAGTTTTACATGTTGAGTGAAGAAGAGGTGCGTGTGTTGTTGCAGTATGTTGAGGGGAATCTTGAAGACAATAGTCAACAACAAACTGCTTTTGTTGTTCTCCAAGCCATAATTGCAAGGAAGATAGATGCTTATGAACTGCATTCCTTGATGAAGCACGTCCAGGTGATGAGTATAACCTGTGGCCGGCAGTATGCCCTGAATCAAGCGCGCATTACCTACTACACGTACCTGCTCACTTACCCAATGAAACCCAAACATGTCACTGCCAACATTCTACATTTTCTTGGCAACGTGTCATACACACACGAAGAGGGCCGGCTTTCGGCTTCAACCATGATTAATACTATCGTTGCAAATTTCCCAATTAAACTCATTAGCAAGGATTTGGAAACAAAAATGTGGTTCAAATTATCTGAACAGCTGTTGAAGGACGAATCAAAAGAAAATATTACCCTTTTACATAAAGCGTTGAAAACTCTGTTTCAGAGATCAAGAAGGAAACAGATGTTAACTGAGTTGTGTATGAAGCTTTTGGAGGAAGAAGATAGCAGTGTTACATCAAATTTGGTAGCCATACAAATGGCTGCCAAGTCTCTAAATGCCTTCCTTGATGTGCCTGTTAAACTGTTACCAATCAGTCTTTTGTCAAGTGTTACCCCTCAGATAATCACTCTCATTACTCCATCCAGGTACTGTGCCCAGCTTAGCATTGAGAGCCAACCAAATGACTCTGAAAATTTGGACATGAATATTCATCTTCGACAAATGGACACAACTTTATGTGCACTATTGGAAGTGTTAACTAAGGTGGTGGGAGCCTTCATAAGCAATCCACAATGGAGTAATCTTGTTAGTGAGGAGATGTGGGACAATATTCAAGGTCATCTGCGCTACCCACACATACAGGTGAGACTGAGTGCTGCCAGCCTGGTAGGTCGTCTGTTAGCTGCTCATCCTGTTGAAGGGGAGACGTCACCCTCACTCGCCTCCTCGACTGCCCGAGCACGTTCACTTGTATTAGACTTGTGTGAACTTCTTCGAACGCAAGCTTCAATAGGCATTCCTCTCCTGACTCAGCTGTCACTAACGGTAGTGAGGAACCTCATATATCTGATTCGTCACTCGTGCAAGGTCTCATTAGTACTCAAAACCTCTAAATTAAGTGATGTTGAAGCTGAGAGTGAAAGTACAAAAGCTGAAAACATTCTTCAAGGGGAAGATGCTGTTGCACCTAGTGCAGTTTGGGTCATTCGTCGTGTTGGTGATATGGCTTATGAAGAGCTTCAGAATAGTGGAAAGGAGTACACTTTAGTTAGAGAAGCATTGTTAAATCTCATGGCTGGTTTAGTTGTTGCCATTGGAGACAAAGTAAAAGCACCCACTCTACTCACCTATATGGTAAAACATCTTGCTCGTGAGTTATCCGACGAACACGTTCCCGAGTCTCTCATTACACGAACTAGGGAGGTAGCTGTTCTTGTTAAGGAATGCGTTGGTTTAGAGACGTATACCCGTCACCTCACCGCGGCTCAAGTTGTCCTCTCCAAGAAGCGATGGGAAAGACGTGCCCGTGACCACCAGCAGCAGGCTGTTAATCCACATCTAGCAATGAAAAAGAAGAAAAAGAAGCAAGAAGCATTAAAGGAATCGAAAAAACGAAAAATAGCCGAGAGAAAAGGAAAAGCCGTAAAAAATAAGAAGATGAAACTAAGAGATCACGTTGTTGTGAAGGGTTAATACTGTACATATCACAGTACTGTATTTGTTCTAAAAATGTTAATCTGTATTGCAGAAAGATGCACTGTATTTTGAAATGCTATATAATAATGAAACTATGATTGTATAATAATGATACTATGATTGTATAATAATGATACCAGTTTTAAGTAGTAAGATTTTGTTTATCCTTTTTCTGTACTGATGTTTCTTTTAGTTTCATCAGGTACGTACCTTTAATTCTTCCATTGTGGTTAAGAATTTTAAAGTACAGTACTGTACACTATGTCTAAAAGCTGTGTTAAAGCATTGATATGAATGGTAAATCTCAATCTATATCTACTTTATTACAGTGAAGTGTGCTCAAAATTAATTTAAACTGTATTGTAAGTGTCTTTTCATTTCATTAGTGCTGAATATAATTCTCTCATGTACTATACGTACTGTACAAGTACTGTATACAGTCACCCACAAAACTCCAGTAGCCTCTCCTCCTGAACCACAAACCCTGAGATTCAGACTTGTGAATCCAAAGTATTTGTGGACAGAATAATGCATCAGTGTCTACTGATTCAGGTTTGAGGAAAAGTAGGAGACAATAGGGCTTTTGTGGGTACCTGTACTGTATCTACTTTTGATGCTCCAAATCCTCGACTGCACGAACCATATTTTAGTGTTGTACCGAATCATGAGGAGTCAAGATAATATCATACATGTAGTAAAGGAGAAGGACTTTCATACCACTTAGTGTAAATCACTCCATGGCTGAGGCTACCCTGACCAGAGGACCGTGTCATGTTAAACGTCTTCACTATGGGGATACCACTATTAATATTTTATTTGGCTAGTGCCAGACGATTTTATTCAGCAGAGAGGGGGACCCTGCACACAATTGGTTAGTAGACTACTTCCTCTAACCCCTTCTCTATGGGGACGCCACTTTTAATAATTTATTTGGCTAACGCCAGGTGATTTTATTCAGCAGAGAGAAGGACCCCATAAACAAGTGGTTAATACAGTAGTAGAATACATTGACCAGGAAGATAATTTTAGATAATGTATGTATATGATGTAAGGGGCATTTACAGCCAAGTAAATTAACATTTTAAGAGAAAAACTAACATTGTAGGTACACTGAGGCCTCAACCTAGTTGCCAACTTTGTTGAACACAAAGCCTAGCAAGGCATCACACTATTAGTGCAATGTATTTCAAGGTTGATTAACATTAATTTTAGTGTTGCATTGTTAGTAAGTGGAATTTCTTTACTGAAATCAAGTGTAGCATTGTACAGTCTTGGTTTTCACATACAAACAGTAAATCACCATGCCAAAGCACTGTAGAAAGTGAACTACAGTAGTCATATAAACAAAGTGCAATCCTGTAACCATTAATGACAACTGACCTGTCTAGTGGAAGATCATTGCAATACATTAAGTTGGGTTTAGTTTGTTTTATCCGTCATAAATAATGATTTATGCTCACCTTGTATACAAAATTCTAGCACTTGCAGCAAGCTTATTTCAACATACCATACCGTCACATGTTTTCTTTATATTTTAACTTTTTTCTAAATACATATAGCTGAAATATTATGTGTTGATTTTTCTAAGGAAATCATCATAATCATGCCTGTTAGCTATGCATCTATGAACTGAACTGTGGCCAAAAAAGTACAATAATTAGGATGCTTCAAGGAAGAGGCATAAGGGGAATTACCTTGTCCTAAAGACACAGATGGAATATTCTCAACCCCAACAATATTACACTTCAGAGACAGTACTGAAGTGGTAGATGATGTACAGTATTGAACTTAACACAAGGTAAGAATATATAACGAAACTAGCCAACCATAGTGTGTTGGGTATATCTTATGTGGACTGTAGCTTGTGTGACTGTGTGTCTTGTGGTGTGAACTGTAGCTTGTGTGACTGTGTGTCTTGTGGTGTGGACTGTAGCTTGTGTGACTGTGTGTCTTGTGGTGTGAACTGTAGCTTGTGTGACTGTGTGTCTTGTGGTGTGGACTGTAGCTTGTGTGACTGTGTGTCTTGTGATGTGGACTGTAGCTTGTGTGACTGTGTGTCTTGTGGTGTGAACTGTAGCTTGTGTGACTGTGTGTCTTGTGGTGTGAACTGTAGCTTGTGTGACTGTGTGTCTTGTGGTGTGAACTGTAGCTTGTGTGACTGTGTGTCTTGTGGTGTGGACTGTAGCTTGTGTGACTGTGTGTCTTGTGGTGTGGACTGTAGCTTGTGTGACTGTGTGTCTTGTGATGTGACTGTAGCTTGTGTGACTGTGTGTCTTGTGGTGTGGACTGTAGCTTGTGTGACTGTGTGTCTTGTGGTGTGGACTGTAGCTTGTGTGACTGTGTGTCTTGTGATGTGGACTGTAGCTTGTGTGACTGTGTGTCTTGTGGTGTGGACTGTAGCTTGTGTGACTGTGTGTCTTGTGGTGTGGACTGTAGCTTGTGTGACTGTGTGTCTTGTGGTGTGGACTGTAGCTTGTGTGACTGTGTGTCTTGTGATGTGGACTGTAGCTTGTGTGACTGTGTGTCTTGTGGTGTGGACTGTAGCTTGTGTGACTGTGTGTCTTGTGGTGTGGACTGTAGCTTGTGTGACTGTGTGTCTTGTGATGTGGACTGTAGCTTGTGTGACTGTGTGTCTTGTGATGTGGACTGTAGCTTGTGTGACTGTGTGTCTTGTGGTGTGGACTGTAGCTTGTGTGACTGTGTGTCTTGTGGTGTGGACTGTAGCTTGTGTGACTGTGTGTCTTGTGATGTGGACTGTAGCTTGTGTGACTGTGTGTCTTGTGATGTGGACTGTAGCTTGTGTGACTGTGTGTATGATTTTGTATAGCTTGTTGTTATGCGAGACTTTGTGTAAATTGTGTGTAGTATTGTTATGATTGTGTAACAAGATGCATCCGTGTTCAGACTGTTAAATGATTGTCTGTACCGTATATTGTTGTGTGTGAACTATATAGGAGTTTACTGTGGTGCATCTCAGGGTTTATAAGAGTGCATTTTCACTGATGTAAATTTATTCTAGAAAGGAAAATATTTTGTGGTTATAAGAAGGCTCTAACTTGCATAGAGTGAGAGGCGTGTGGTAATGGGTGGCTTGAGGTCTCTGCATGGCGACCTTGGGGGAGAGGTTGATGGTTTCTCGCATTCTTGAATTGTGTGTGGCCTTGTGAGCTAATTGTTTCTGGACTCATGTCTCCCACGCTCTCTCCTACGCCTTATACCTACACAATGCGTACAAACACATGTACACTCACAGTTGCTCTTACACGCACACATCCTACACGTACACACAAGAAGTTGCTCTCATGAACGTACACGCCTTCTACGAACATACGTACACACACGCGCCTTGCATGCGTAAGTTACTGGTCATCTACTACATTACAAATACTGTACATGCAGGCAAGAGAGAGCGCACACAAAGATCCACAAGCGAATAAACATGCAGTTGCAAACATGTACACGTACAAACATACAATCACGGACTTGTAAGAACTATGCAAACAAACACACAAATAAAAAAAAAGTAATCGCGCACACAGATGCAACCTCTCATGCACATGCAGGCATACACATTGACCTACAAACACGCACACGTACAGGAATCAATGAATGAAAATACATTTATGTATGGATACACATTAATACACACCCAACACTAGGTTATTCACATAAGCACACTTGAAATATATATGCAAATACTCTTACACTCAAATGCAAATAATGGGCCATTATATCAGCATAAGTATTATAACAAAATGCCCCCTTTGGTAGAATAGTAAACCTTCATATCAAGTTAAATGAACAACAAAATATAAATTGTATATCAACACAAGGTAGGAACATATTCGTATCAGATTTTCTTTTAGACGACAAATGTGAACTTGAAAAGAACGTTAACATTTGATATCGCGTTAATATTTGATATCGATATTACAGTTATGAACCATTTATGTAAAGGTAACGATATTCTGTAATACCACTTTCAGAGTACCAACGTATATTCCTCCTCCTGTTCTACCATTATACAGTATTCTAATGACTTAAATTTACTTCCAAATCATGAACAAGATAAAGAAGTGAGAAGATGGGTTGGTCTGGATTCGTTTTTTGTTTCAATCGGAATGAATAACTCTAAAGTGAGATATTAAACTACAAATGAAGAAAACAGTTAAGAAGGCGAATGGGTATATAATACAAAATGACGTGTGGCAGTAGACATGACAAGGGAGTGAGTTTGTATTGTTTATACCAGTTTGAGTGAGCGCGGGGGTTGAGTGAGCCGCGCAGGTCCTCCTCCTCCAGGGCTGCGTGAGACAAGGTGACTGATGCCAATACTCGGCAGATGAATCTACCCTAAACTTATGTACACAACATGTCTTTCATTTACAAACTGAATATCACAATATACTTACTGTAATGGAATATATATTAATACTAATTATAAGTTTATTGGACGATATATGATAATAATATGAAGAGAAAAATGGTGTAAACTGGCATCTGAAGGACCGACGGCAGCGTCGCAGCTGTAATGAGGCTGCCTCAGTACGATGACGTCTCTCGTGTAAGCGTCAATGTAGATGGGGCAGTGTCCAATTTACCCCACTGTTGTGACGCCTGGATGTGCCTTTGTGCTTTATTGTGAGTTTGGAACTCATGTCAGTGATTAGCAGCGGGCAGGTGTGGGCGGGGGCCCCTACAGCATCTGTGGTGAACCAGGATCAGTGAGGGGAGAGCTACCACCGTGTTGTTGTGATGGCGGAGGTGGCAGGGGCGAACCTCCCCTCGCTAGCCACTCGTCACCGCCGTCACTGTAGCCCATCGCCTTTGCATCAGGCCCCACTTACTCTCGCCATGGCCGTAGGCATTAGGCGAACTCTAGTGAGCCAATACCACAACCGCTACAGACTCCCTGTCCCTCTGTGCCACTCGACGAGCCCAGCCCAAGACACCACCCCTACTAGGACCCTCACCACGACCCTTGTATGTCCGGCGGTGTGCAGGGAGCCCAACACCACCCCCATGTGAGCCACAGGTATGTCTACTACAGCTGACACCATCACTATCTTACATACAAACCTAGTTCACACTTAACGTCACCCAACACTTAACAAAACACTCACATGTTATAACACAGTGTCACAAAGAAGTCACGCCACATCAGTACTTCATAACAAAGTCAACATTGTGGTTTATCCCAACATCACAGTTATGTACTCTTGCAGTTTGTCTGACTTACAATAATATTAGTGAGGCGAAATGTTATAACAAAGCAAGACAAAACAAGACACGGGAAGATGTAACACAATAACAGCGTGAAAACAAAGTAGCATTTACCAACATAACACAATAAATATATGGCTTGAAACTAACACATCACAACACAGCAACATGCTTCAACACAGAAACAAAATGTTGCAATTCAACACCTTGTCAACATATCAACACAGAAAGATGTCAGCATAGCAGTGTGTCACTACAGCAATGCGTTTCAATACCCTGTAACTGTACATACACAGTTTAATGCAGCATATCACAGCCTATTGACTTCTCTTTAACACAGCATTATTGTCTCAACTTGTTAAGGCACATTATAATTCAGTGAAGTAACATGCCGTAGCTGTAAATATTTCAGCACAGCACCACGCCTGGTACTGCACCACATAACATGTTATAACAGTAGTATTTAACACGAGAAATATGTTACAACTCAACAGCATGCAACATTGCAATAACACATTAGTGCACAAGAGAACAATGTGTTTTAACAGCAGTGGCATCACAGTCCAGCATCATGTTACAACGTATCTCAACACAACGCTACATGGCATAGGCCCAACTCAGCACAAAGTAAAACCACTATTGCAGAAACATGCCATATGTACTCACCTCTAACCACCAGCATGGTTCGTTACAGCATGTTGCAGCACAATACAGCAGCAATATTGGATGTTACCACATAACAAGATAGTGTTATAGTTCAACACAGCAGCACCATTGTACATTGTATACAGTGCAGCAGCAGCAGAAGTATTGTACATTACAACACAACAGCATTGTAATATACGTTACAATGCAGCAACATTGTACTATACGTTACAGCATAATAACACAACAGAAACATTGTATGTTACAGCACAACACAGCAGCAGGAACGTACCATATAATGACAGGACAACACAGCATCAACAGATTTTACAGCATAAACGTCATCAGTAGGGAAGCATCGGAACCATAATACTTAGGGTATTATAGCTATTAAAATTAGGTTCAATACGTTTTAAGTATATAACATTCAGAAACCATAGTACCGTATGATGTTATTGGTATATGTTAATTTTTTAAGTCATTTGTGAAACTAAAGTTAGGAATATGAAGATTTAGATTATTTATTGTTTACTTCATGCAGAGGTCCCCCAGAGGGCTACAGTGTTGTTTAAAGGTGAATCACACATGCTTGCTAGATAACATGCAACCTTGTGTTAATGATCCCTTCACTGCATGCGGTATTTCATAAACTAAGTTCCGGTGAATCCCTAGTCACCAGTGCTGCTTTCTGTAGCACAATACAGAAGGGACAGAAGAGTACGTTATAATAGCAACAACGTACCATATCAGCATCATGACTCAGCAGCTGTATGGTGTAATTCTACTCTTGGTCACAATATACGTAGTCTAAATGCATAGATAACGGTACATCTTGGTACAGCAGTCTGTCGCAGTGTATCGACCTTTCAGCATGTCAGCATAGAATTACACAACAGTAGTACATTGCAACAAGGTAATATACCACAATACAGCACTATTTCACAGCATAGCAACATGTCACAACACAGCAACCGCTTACAACTCACAAACAAGTCACAGGACTAACATCACAGCAACAGAGCATGCCGCAACACTTAAACGTAACACAGTAACAATTTACAAGACGAACGTGACAAGCCTGATATTACAACACTAGTATGCCAGAATATAGCAGCATATCACAGCACCACAACCTGTTACAACAACACTATCAGTATTCCAAAACACATGTAGCAGGACTTAACAGCAAGGACCTCGACACAGTAAAGACGTTCGGCCGTGACCTAGACCTGGGCTACTATTAGGGAAGCCCTGGCCCTAAGGTGGGAGATTTCTCCCACACACGCAGTACAGTCGTATGTCAAACAAGCAAGGTATCAAAACGTTTGAATTCCTCCAAACACTACAAGTTCTACCACAGCAGCAGTAGTTCACCAACAGTAGCAGTAATTTGAATCTGTAATGTTATATTTGTAATAAGATGTTGGTAGAGAAAGGAATGCATGACAGTTTCGGGAGATGGTAGGCCTATGACTAGCTTGGTACTGAAGCGCAGCGCTTATAAACACAACGGAAAATGTACTGTACCAAGGCTGATACCTGGGCCCCCTGTTAGGAGATGTAGCAATTTTAGGTCACTTTGAAATACTTTTTAATAAAATATTTAACATGTAGACAAGGACGGCATTACTTGTAGGTGTTAGGTTATCAGCTAAAGTGTGGAACAGCAGAGGAATAATTTGGTGAATTTTCATTTAATTTCGACAACAGGAACTGAATAGCCTACCCATAAAATACAGATACTGAAAACTTGGTAGGTAAACTAGTTACTTACCCTCGTATTATACTGCAGTGTGTTCCAGCAACATATTACAACACAGCCCAGTCATTTTTCACAACATAATACAGCAACGTCGCAACATAACACAGCTACATGTCACAACATAACCCAGAGCATGTCACAACACAACAATAAATATTTTCAAATTAACAAGGCGGCATAACAGGAATGATAGGAGCTCGTCTCACTACGAGAAGAAATTATATATAATAAACATGAACTTTTAGATAGCATGATGTCATCAGTTGACTATCTTCAAAAGTGGTGTGTGATGTCAACAAATTGTGGGTTACACTTATAATGGTGTTGCTAAGGTTTATTACGTGTATTGTTGTGGTGATGGTGGGGGGGAGGGGCGAGTGTAGGAGGTAATAATGTTGTGGCTAGATATTGTACAGGTTGTCCCCTCGAGGCCCCAGTTTACCTCAGCGTCACGACACACGCAAAACCCTTATTGCCTGCCAGTTTCCTGGGGCCCCTCGCTGCCCCTTCACACCTCTTCAGGCATCGACATTCACGTAGAAAATTTGTGCCGAGTAGCCTATTCGTGAGTTGTTTGTACCTTACAGCTCAGTTAACACTAGTAATTTTGTGAAGAGTATTTGTAAGTTTTACCCACAATGCACTCTGACACTAACCTAACCAAAGCTAACCTAACCTACGTGCAATGCCATCATATATATATATATATATATATATATATATATATATATATATATATATATATATATATATATATATATATATATATATATATATATATATATATATATATATATATATATATATATATATATATATATATATTGTGTTGTCAATGTGTACCGTCATGTGACTTTTTTCCTGTGGACATATATTTCCGTCCACCCGTGACACACCCTTAACCCCAAGTTGCAACTCCTCTGACCACCAACACATCACCATCTTAATTTTGTGTCCCTTTGGTTAACATATCTACTGTATCTAGTAATAATTTTTTTCTAGTATATATTACAAGTAAATGTTAAATATTATACCTTAATGTATATGGGGTGGTTGTTACGTATCTCAGTACAATACTTAAGTGAAGTTTTGTGTCAATCCTATGTTTACTTCGGCCAGTGTATGTACTCTACCGTACCAGAAACTAAGCAGCCCGCCCTGCAGCCTTGTTGAGGTAACACCTTAAATATGTTTGTAGTTTTCACTTGAAGACGTTTACTAATTAATAACTTACAGGGCAGGGACAGTGTAAGTTAGGGTACAGTGTAATCTTAAGATGTGGCTCATGTGTGAATGTGGAAACGTTCTTGTCTACTAATAACAAGCTTTTGATATACAGTATCCACGTTTTTTACATGAAAATTGCGTGAGTGGCACGATCCTCATTTTTTTAACAACATAAATACATGATTGTAGGTCACGTTCTGTACTCCATAGCAAGTGGAGATGAACGTGGGCAGATGTGTCATTAGTGCCTTGGAGGACATGACTGGGCAGCGTGACATTTCCATCAGAATGTCAACACTCATTTTAAAAAGGAGGCGTTAGTGGTGTGGGCGAAAGGACGTTAGGCATTGTGGATTGCTATTCGTGTTGGCGCCTTTAGTCCTATGTTTTCCCATTTTATTTTACACAACCGGGATATAGTTAATTAGCATAGCTTCCCTCGTTACTGTTATTATTAGTTTGTTGCAGCTGTACACGGTAGTTATTTATAGTTACTGTGGGGCTGAAAATCTTAGAATCCATCTCTGTGTTTCTGGCTCGACTTGGGAGGTATTTCCTGTATCTATTTAAGTGGGTAAGTGCTCAGTGCTGTCCCTGTCTGAACATTATATAAACAAAACTGACCTTTATATGGAATCCACCACACCATCATCCACAAAAGGCTCATTGTTGGACTATTGGTCTCACAACAGCGACTCTACAACTAGCTCAAATTTAGTTATACATTCTCGAGAGTACAGTACAGTACATCACCAGTGTGTTATGGGAAGCACTGTACAGGTATATCCCCCTCTCTCTCTCTCAGACTCGCACAGTAGGTAAATGTTGCCAGGTCAAGGTTAATTCAAATAATGATTAGATTTACTTAGGACTACAGCGTTAGTGGAGTTACCTTAAGAGTAGAGAAAGATGACGCTCGCTCAGTCTTCACAGGCAACGTTCACTATGGCCGGTTCGGTTTCTGCATTTAAATGCCTTTCGATCAATTAGTATAATTTATTTAAATTATTGAAAACAAATGACATTCTAAGTTGGCCTACAATGTTAAAAGCGTCGTTATATTGGCTTCATTCATTGTCAGTGTTTTGTGAATTCGCTTGATACGACAGGACAAGTTAAAATTCCATCCATATATTTTTTTTTACAAATTTAGGGTAGAATTAATTTATAGGGCAGATACTATGATTCAGGGTAGGAATATCTTTTGTTAAGACATTATGAAGAGTTATATATAATTCAGTGTAAATATAATTCCCTGGCGTTAGTTTATCAGTGTCTAAAATAACGTGTTGTGGTGTTGTAAACTTGGCAGTGTGTGGTGCGCGCTTCAGAACTTGAACTTGTTTTGGGGATTACTGGCCACTTCGCCTTTAGGCTATTTCGCTTCAGATGCGCGTCCCTGTTTATATACCTCGGATAGGATGTGTGTACGTACGTACTTATACATGGCGACCTGTAGTGTAATTGGTCAGCATGCTCGCTTCACAAGCGAGCGGACCCGGGTTCGATCCTTGGGCAGCAACATACCCTGGATGTTAAGAGATCTACGGTTCGTGTTCCGGGGTAATGGTTAGCCAGTGGAGTTGTCCGGTCTTCTCGGACTATTCCTTTACACTGGGTCATGCAATTCGTTAACTTAGGGTGTGGTTGTTGTGTTGGTGACAGCTTCTACACCTTAAACAAATTCACGCCTAGGTGGCCTTTGGGCCGGCCATCCTCGTTACACGAGGGACAACCATTATTTTATTTATACTTCAGGTAGGGAATGTTTTTTTTTTATTATTATTTTTACCTCGGATAGGATGTGTGTATGAACGTGTCCAATTGAGATACGTATATTACCTCCAAATAGGATACGTATGCATGTATGTACTGGTAATGTTACGTACCACGTTATAGAGTTAACACGTGATTTAGGCGGTGTGTGAAGGACTCTACTGGGTGTTCACCATGACGAGTTTGTTGAGCAACATATAATTGGACACATTATGGTGAGTTAGCACTGTACCACCGACTCCCACACTCAGTTGCTGTGGTGTGAACTTAACACACAGTAAGTTTCTGTGTCCCACGACTGTGTTGTGAACTTAACACATAGGAAATGTATTTGTTATAACCAACTGCTGTGGTCGGAACTTATCACACGGTATCTATATCCTGTTCAATTGCTGTGGTGCGTATCCCTCAGTTTGTGTCAAAAATGTGTTATTTGTCAATGCTATCGACTACTTTGGCAAACACCGGGACTTGTATGTTGCTGTCTTCAGTAATTGCAATATCAAGAATACATCTGGCAGGTAAACTCATTATATTAGTAATTATAGTGTAATTAACTACAAAATTACGGTTATTCGCACAATAAATTCCTGCCAACGGTAAAGGAATCTGAGTGTATACCTGTCTGTACTGTTAAACCGCACACGGCCACATATATATCTTCCACTGGGCAGCAACACAATGTTATGTTCGGCAGAGAGATTTCAGCTTCACTACAAAGTGGAAGGAGGAGAGGAACACGAGAAGCTGTAGAACAAGAGTGGCTAAACCAGAGATGAAACCGTATTCTTAAAGGAACTCGAGCACTGCTTTTCTCGTCAGCATTATATAAATTAGTAATAACATTTGTTCACTAAGATACCATGCAAATTTATAACTGGTTTTGCATTTCTATAGACAATGCAGGTATACAGTTCAGTACATGTAGACATAATGTAGGTATACGGTGTACTTAGACCACCCAGTATACAATGAAACCTCCATATAACGGACTTCTCTCTCCATAGAATCCGTTAGAGGGGGGGGGGTGTTCATATCTAACAGACCCCTCGTTTCAACGTAGTTTCATCTTTATATAGTTCGTTAGATGGATGTTAAGCAACTAACAGACCCTCGATACAACGGACTTTCCTCTCCATATAGTCGGTTAAATAGAGATTTTACTGTTTATAGGCAAGATTTCCTCTACATTTCATCTGTTTATGGTAAAGCATAGTGTACCGAGGTGTGTGTGGTGGTCTGACGCCAGGTATTTGATCAATAGTGGTGTTGTAGCTTACTTAGTGATTTACGGCTTTGGGTTATACTGTACTGTATAGTGAATTGTGAATAAAACTGTTGTATATGAGAGTAGACAGGAAGTGGCTAGCGTGGCGTTGTTGTAGTAGTAGTAATAGTATAATAGTTGTAATATATAGTATATTATAGTAGTAATAGTATTGTAGTACTAGTTGTAGCAGCATATAAGTCGTAGTGACATCACGATGATTTTGAGAATACACGACCCGTCTGTCACACTCACACCCTTAAATAACTTAGCCACACGAGTCTTCCTTTGGAGCAAAATATACACAATATATAGCTCAATTATCATTGTTACCAGTCATGGGCTAACTACGACTGACAATTGCCGCAAAACTGGAACTGTTAGCCAGGAATGGGTTTGGTATTAGTAACTGGTGTGTGTGTGTGAAGGGGAGGGAGGGGGGAAGGTTAGAGAGGGCGGCGCCAGACATGAGACGGCTAGAGCGGCTGTGTATTTGTGAGTCACCGTAATGTGTTGATTGTCGGTGTAGCTGCTCTTCCTCCCCCCCCCCCTCTCCCCCCCCTCCCTCCTATAATCTCCCCGCTTGTAAGTTGTCTCCCTCTCCCTACCCTCCCTCCCTTCGTCATTGTCTCCTCACGCCCTTCCTCACTAAAACAAGGGGGGGGGGAGATGGGTGTGGGTGGTTGTGGTGGAGCACAATTGTCCAGTGAGGGAAGAGACGACTACACAACTACACACACTGTCGGTCGGATCCCTCCCCCCAACCCTGACTCATCCTTCACCCCCTCACCCCACCCCTGGCCTGACCTTGACGGGTGAAGGAGGTAGAGTGTGATGGGGAGAAGGAAGGGGAGTGGGTAAAGGAAGGGGAGTGTGGTGATTGGGTGAAGGAAGGGGAGTGTGGTGATTGGGTGAAGGAAGGGGAGTGTGGTGATTGGGTGAAGGAAGGGGAGTGTGGTGATTGGGTGAAGGAAGGGGAGTGTGGTGATTGGGTGAAGGAAGGGGAGTGTGGTGATTGGGTGAAGGGAGGGGAGTTTGGTGATTGAGTGAAGGAAGGGGAGTGTGGTGGTGGGGTGTGATGAGAGCGAGAAGAGTGTATCGAAGGCACGGAGAGGGTGGTGGGTGAGTGGTGAGGGCGGGACAGGACAGGTGTGGTAGGATGTGTTACAGGAAGTGGTGGGTCGCTGCGGCAGGTGGGCGCCGGGGGGTGGAAGGCAGGAAACGGGTGTGAGGAGAGACGGAGAGAGGCGATGACGAAGAATGGGAGAGAGGATGTTCTGTGATGCGAGGGGTGAGGGTGGGAAGCTATGGTGAGTGGGGGGAGGGGCAGCTAGGTGAGTGGGGAGGGCAGCTAAGGTGAGAAGGGAGGGAAGAGGGGCAGCAATGGTGAGAGTGGGGGAGGGACAACTATGGTGAGTGGAGGGAGAGGGGCAGCTAAGATGAGAAGGGAGGGAAGAGGGGGCAGCAATGGTGAGGGTGGGGTAGGGGCAGCTGTGGTGAGGGAGGGAGAGGGGCAACTCTGCGGGTTTTAGGAGTTACCTTACTGTAATGAGACAATATCTCACAAGAGGAAAGATTACATATAGGTAGAATATTGATAGTATAAGAGTATAAAAGAGAGGAAGATTTTGGTAGCGTGGCCGTGATAGATATTTACACTTATCGTCTCTTATACGTCAATACACATCCATTACGTCTTAAGGGCGACTTCTCAAACACCGCTTCGTTACAACTCTTTATTAATTACGAACATGACATGGACACATTAATAACACCTTCTATTGAAGTTACTAGGACATTATATTTACGTTACTAGGACATCATATTACGTTACTAGGACATCATATTACGTTACTAGACACTCTGATTCTCGGACACGAACATGAAATGAATACACTTCCCACGTAAGTAACTCATCCCATGGAAAGCTCTGACAAACACTCACGTGACCTAGGGGAGGCCTAGCAGGTGGTCCTGGGTTGTCTCTATGGGAGACTGCTTAGCTGGGCGCCGGAGGGAAGTCTCGGTCCTGACCGGAGGCGACTGGAGGCGACCGGAGGCGGCTTGCCTCCGGCCCCTGACTTCTCTCGAGCAGGACTCGGGACGTGGTAGCTGGTCCTTCTTGGTTACAAGACACACACTCTCTCTGTCCCTCTCTGGCTCTCTGTCTCCGGGTATCTCTCTGAGGGAGGACTAGGACGTCCTATATATTGGGAGGCGAGCCGTCAGGTTGAGCTGGTCGGGAGGGGGGGGCGGCGAAGGGTCTCCTTACATTTGACCTGGCCAATGTGAGGTCAGGTCTGGACTTTTTCAGATGTAGGTTATTGTGTATTTTGGGAGAGAGTCGGCCGGTGCCTTCTTACATGTTTGTTGTGGTGCCGTGTCACATGGGAGGGGAGCCTGGCTGATTTATAACCCTTGGTCAACCGTGAGAGTTACCCTACACTTGACCTCCCTAATGTCGGGTCAAGTCTGGACTGTCTCTGAGATGCAAGCTGTGGTCTGACAACCCATCACTACATTACTGTACTGATGCATATGTCAGAGTGGGTGAGAAGGGAATGTGTAGGGTAATATGTGTGGTCTAGGTGAGTGTTAACTGTAAATAGTGGACAAACTGAATTAAATTAGCTTACATTTGTCTTGATTTTTTGTTACTCTACTTAATTTTTAATTAAAACAGTGTTTAATTATCCTTGCATGTATTGATTTAATTATTCATGCATGTACAGTAGCTAAAACAACTATCTGTGCATACTTTGTGGGAAACAATATGAGACCTTGGAAAATAAATTTTGGTATACGAGGGCTGTCACTAGTCACACGTAAAATTTTGGAGCATATCAACCCCTACCTGCACAGATAGTTGTTTTAGCTACTGTACACTCACTAAAAGATTATTCTGCACCTTAACGGGGTTATACAATATGACACCGGACCAAGAAATCTGATAACACTCATCGGGGCATCTGTCGGATGGTTTCAGAGCCAAGGGTGCAGAATATTTTTTTAGCGTGTGTACTCTCTCGCCAAAAATACTAGAACGCTAAGAACTATGCAATCTGAAAAATGACAGAAGATTCTGAAACCATTCTGAGATGACAAGCCCCATTTTACCCAGCATGCATGCTACATTACAATTATATGTCTTTTTTTATTATCATCCTTCTTACATGTTGACACAATCTCAGAAAACCTCTTCGCCCTCTACCTTCTCAGACATTTCATTGTTTTATATCTTGCACATTGTTTTATATCTTCCATTCTGATAACTCATTTGTGTAATTGAAATTTTAGATAATTTCTTTCCCTTTTGATTTCATATAACACTGCCATAAGTTAAGGTAGGAAGTAACTATTCTATCTCTTGAATTCCTTCTTTACTTCTCAGCTCTTCAATCATCCTCCCAAGTTGAGTTCTTTCCCTACTTGCCCTTACCACTGTACCATTCTTAACATTGCTTCCAAATATTTTAACCTTTAAACCTTGTCTTGTATTTTATTATTCATCACACAGTTGTCATTTAAAAATATAATTTACTGGATGTAATTTTGTTGTAAAATTGTGAACTGAAGCAGTAAACTACAATAGAGTAGAGTACAGTACCAGTACAGTACAATGTAGATTCATTCCTATATGAGGGTAACAAGAACTAAGCTTTTTGCTGTCAGTTGGTGATCTTGAAAGGTTCTACTACTGTAATGTGACCATATGTTTTTCATACAACTATTAAGAAATTTCCCCTTGGCAATTTTATTGATATAGTTTTAAATATTTGCAGGGCGCGAGGATGGGGTGCGTGGCCAGCAAGCCTGACATCAACGACCTACATGCCAACATCTTCCAGGTGGTGAATGTGGATGACCTCGGCCACCGCTTCAGTGCCGCTAAGCTGGAGGTGACGGACACCGATTTGGTGCTTCACCAACGCGGCAAGTCCGCAATTCACTGGCCACTCCGCTGTCTCCGTCGCTATGGCTTTGATGCAGAGCTATTCAGCTTTGAGTCAGGCCGAAGGTGCCCCACAGGTCCGGGCATCTATGCCTTCAAGTGCCGACGGGCAGAGGCACTTTTTAACATGTTGCAACTCCAGATTCAAAACATCACTGAAGATGCAGCATCTCGAGATATTGCTGCTCTTCCTCCTCAAGTGGTCAATGAAAATCGAGACTTGACCCATGATGATTCCCGCAACAGTGGGACTGCTGGGGCTACAGATATTGAGGGTTATTTGGAACCTGTGCAACGACCACACCCCAGAGTCTCGAACAATAAAGGGGCGACCTCTATAGGTGTGCCAACTGGTTCAAGTGTTAGTGGAGTAAATAGTGTTGTTGGAAGTGGAAGTGTTAGTGGAGGTGGTATGTCATATGGTGGGGCAACTGGTGTTGTGGTTGGTGGTGGGCTGGGTACAATTCGTTCCCCTGCATCTCCCCCTGCACAACTTAGCCCAACTCGTCATTCCTGCTATGAAAACACTTATGATATAACCCGAACTGAAGAGACCCCACCAACTCCAGGCCATAACATGAGAGAACCACCACCTACACCAACAGAACCACTCAGACCAGTGTTTGTAAATCATATTGATAAAACAGTGTCCTATGACCATAGTGTGAGGCCAGCTTCATATTCAGATAGATCCACATCACAGTTAAATTCAACACAGTCAAAGCGCCCAAGATCATATGTGAACATTAACTCTAGTAAACCTCATTATGATGTGAATACAAATGATCTAGTGTATGTCAATGTAGGCCCGGAGCGTCACCATGACCACAACCATGTATATGTCAATCTTGGGCAGGAGAAAGATGTACCTGCAGTGCCTCCTCGATCCTCTCTGGCTGCGGGGTCTGCAGGATCAGGTTCCTCCCATTCTGGTACCACCACTACCACAGACACAGACCACCAACCTTCGCAGATAAACTATATCATCCTCGATCTAGACCCTGGCTCAGATTCCTCTCAAGCAGCTCCAGTCAGTCCACTAGGATCTGTAGCATCTGGCCCTGAATCACCACATCATTTAGCTGAAGGCTATGCTACCATTGACTTTGATAAGACGGCAGCTCTGTTAGACACGGCAATGGCAGCATCTGCGTGGGAGGATGGCTCAAGAAAAACAAGACACAATTCCACTTTCACAAACCCGGCAACTCTAACACGACACAACTCTTCTTTGTCAGATTGAGATACCGTATAAATTTTAGTGCAGACTTCCTGATTGAATCATTGATGGAAATGGCAGGAGCCTGCTGTTTTGCAAATCAAGATGGATTTCTATTACAGCTAAAATGGCTTCAGTAGGAACCTGCCACTGCTAATAAATAATACATCTATGTGATGTGCCAAAAAGCTCTCAGGAGCAGTATTATAGCTGTATATAGGTACTCTGACCAGGAAATATGTGCACAATTCAGCTGATAAACCTTTGAATTAAAGGTGAACAGTTTTCTTCTTTTTACAGTGATGATTGGGCAGATAATCATACTTGTGATTTTTTTTTTGTAGCAGTCAATGTGGCTGTTTTTTTTTTCTACCAAAGTGCCCCTCTGGCTGCTGAGGACCCGTGTGACCCTTTGTGACCAGCCTTCAAGTTAACCTTGCCCCTCCACCCCTGTGACCCATCTTCACCCTTCTGGTTGCTGATGACTGGTAGTAGCCCTTGTCATTTGCCTTCAGGTCAATCATGCCTCAGTGGATGTTCACAACCCATGTAACTTTTTTCTCTCTTTATCAGCCCATCTGTTGGGCTTTGGAGAATCTGTATGATCCTTACTGGCTAGCCTTTACATCTAACCTCTCGATACTTGGACATTTGGTCCTCTGTTGCAAAAGCATCAGCCTTACCTGGCTTTTTGACTTGCGATCTCATATGACCCCTGTTGTGGTTTAACTCTTGTGTGGCTGTTAAGAACCTAGTTAATTTGCTTTTAAGTCAATTTTGAAACCTTTATAGCCTCCTCTTGTAGGCATTTGCCTCTTACATCAACCATTCTACTTACATATAGGCTCAATGTACTTTTTGTTCATGGACTTGTAGTTGATGGGAATTATATATCAACTTTCATTAGCAATAGCCTGATTTTTTGTGGAAAAATGTTACATATACAGTAATGTGTAAATTGTTATTGAATAAGAATGCCTTCCTTGAGTGCTGAATTGATCCACAGTTTGACATGTATGACAATATATCAAAACAAATCATGCTTTATAAATGTATTTTTTTATTGTTAATTATTCTAAAATTGGGTTGAAATTAAAGGCATCTCAGTGTTAGATATTGAAATTCTCATATTTACAACTGTTTAAATATTTGTAGGGACTTAGGCATGTTTTTATATAAAATAAGGATATACAAACATTATAGGAATAAAAGTTAAATTGGTTTCTAGATAATTTTTTAAAAGGTTATTCAAATAAAGCCATTGTAATAAAGTTGAATATGGTAATTATTTAGTAGTTATGAAAGATTATGTTGTGTATTTAATTATTTTACTGTTTGTTGATCATAAATGTAATGAGGTCGTTTATTGAAAACAAAAATTTCTAGTTAGACAAGTTGGCCATGGAAGTACTGTCGACAGAAATACTAAGGGATCCCCCTTTTCTCTTACTGATGGTTCTTGCCTAAAGCCACATTTACACACCAGAACTATTTGGTGGTGTCACACATTGTCATACAATACTACACCATCCTTCAGATACTGCTTTATATAATTTTGCTGTTTCCCTTCATTCCATTGTCTTTTCGTTCTTTCCTGCATGTTTTCTCGCCCCTGCGTACTTGTTGAAGAAATTCTCATTCTTTTGGGATTCATATTTCTAGTGCAAGCAAATGGTAGCTGCTTCACTGAAGTGATAACTAAACCAGGATGAAGAAATGTTCACCAAATATTTTATATTTTTGGTCTTGATCACTTGAAGGTGTAGAGATGGTCAGCAACTGAAATGTTTGATGAAAATTCGCGAGTACCGTCACCGATTGCAGTAAAGGTATGCGAGGAATTTTTTCTTCATCATCATCTCTTCATCCCATGATCAAGTGTTGCAAAGCAGCATTAACAATCTAACTGGTTCTTAATCTTTGCAAGCTAGAGGCAGACCTAAGGGTCACTTATTTTCTTGTGCAAGAAATCAAATAATTTTACAGTATTGTTAACTTAGAAGCAAAAGAGCATCATAATTAATAATTTCGGTAGCTCCTGGTGCAGCTGACACTACTACAGTATACTTGTAATACAAGAAATGTTGCTCACAATTCATCAACCTTGCCTTTTGTGTTAATCCTGAATTTTTTTCTTTATCCCTTTTCATAAGTTGGTAAAATGGCAACTTCACATTACTTCACTTGTTGAAGAAACTTTGCCTTTCTTGTCTGTTTATGAAGGAAATGTTGGTATCCAGTCAGTTAAGCACATGAATGCAGTAATACCAGATACTTGTTGCACGAAGTGTTAAAGAGTCTTCACTAATTGTTTTCTTAGGTTTCATTAATCTGAGTCCAGGGTTCATATGATCCAGTCAGTATTATGAATGAAATTGCAACACCAAGTGGGCAATGGGGAGGGGGAGGGGCACACTGGAAGGGGGCTTTCACGTTTTGGTACTACTAGTTAGGCATGGCCACTGGCATTGGTGAAGGGATGTTAGTACTTTGATGGGAGATGGATACTACTACACAGTGTAAGCACTTTTGGATTTGCAGTAGCACTGCTGGTGGGGCTTGGTCACTGATGGTGTGGTCTGCTACAGCTTGCAAGCCTTGGGTGTTGCAGATATGAGATGGTACTTTAATGGAGCATGAGCACTGTGTGGTATAAAATTGGTAATGGGGTATAGGCCCTGCTGGCGTAATGTGGCACTGCTAGCAGGGCAAAGGTTATGTTGGTAAGGCATAGCAGTGCCAGTGGGGCAAGAACACTGCTGGTGTGGAAATGTTCTGCTAGGGTTGCATGCACTGCCAGCAAGGTAGAGGAAAGCAAATGTTGATGTGGCATGACTGCCACACAGGCATGGATGAACACCCTGCTGGCATGGTAAGGCACTGCTAGCTGGGCATGGGCACTGTTAGTGTGTCATTATCCTGCTAGCAGAGCATAGGCAGTGTTAGCAGGACAAGAATACACTTCCACTCTACACCACTAGTTCAGCATTGGAATCTTCGTAGCATTAGTAACTAGATAATTTTTAACATCTGTTCTCACAGCTGCAAGACTGTTAAAGATTCTTACAAATTGTAAAGTTTTTTATGGAACACTTAGGATAGATTTGCACAATTTGTGTAAAATGCTTTATGTTCCATGCCTGATGTCAGAATGATGACATGCAGATCTCACGTGAAGCTAGAGTGTATGTGATGGACTTTGCCCACCGAGGACCAGCCTCCTGGCTGCTTCAGGAGAAGCTGTAGTCCCCGGCAAGATGCATTTGTAATATATATCCAAAGACTAACCAGATAAAAAATATTTGCATTGTTTATTTGAAAGGATTTTGACTAGATTATAAAATGTTATTTACTATGGTATTTTCATTAATCCCACAAAATATATCTTGATACAAGGTTTTTGTTACTCAATCCTAACAAGAAAGGAGGGAAAGAGTTACTATTTTATGTTATTTGAGACTATGATTTTGCTATGTGGAATGATCATATTTTGATAAAAAATAGCCAAACAAATTATTCTGTCACATCTACCAACCTTATGTAAAGGTACATAAGATATTGTTACAGTATTTTTTTTTTGCTTAGGTATTCTTTAAAACTAATGTTTTCGGTTGTAATCTTTAGGTTTGATCTACTGTTATAATGCCTTATACATAACGCAGTAAATTTGGGCAATGATATACACACCTACTAACACTGCCACTTCAAGTCACAAAGTTGTTGCTGGCTAGTGTATGTTTATACAGTATACTGAAGAAATTTTCAATGTAAACATGATTTTGTTTCGGTAATTTCTAATATAGTAGCTAATAATCAAGCGGCAATAAGTGTAAACACACAGTACATATGCACTGGGCCGTCAATGATGTTTAACAATGCTAATGTATCGCATTTCATTGCAGTCTTTGTTATAGGTGTGAGTTTAATAACATATAGTCCTGTAGACTGAGGGTCTTGGGATTAACAAACCTTCAGATAAAGCACAATAAGGCAGAGCTCTATGAAACATTCAAAATCCTGAAAGGGTCAGAAAATACCAGCACAAGGAAATACAGTACTTTTCACACAGAGGCTGGTAGACCTATGGAAAGGTCTACCAGCTCAAGCTGTGGAATCAAGAACAGAGCTGGGCTTCAAAATAACCCTTCACAAAATTATCAAAAACAATGGAGGGATCTTACACGGGCCACTGGCCTCCTTCCCTCGGCATGGTCACCTCTAGTGGGTGGCCATTCGGTAAATAGGTATTCAAGCAAGCAAGTCCATCACCCACACAAGATGGGACAATCATAAGATTAATTAACATCAAATGATAATATCCATCTATCTGACTTGATTGTTATAATTCAGTCTCAGACATGAAAAATAAATTTATTAAAATATGAATTTAGTTGTTTATTGTAAAAAATAATAATTAAGAAATGGGGCCAAGTGCACATTAAAAGAAAAAAATTATACCCTGCTGAAAGTTGGTTCACCATTAAAGCTCTTGGCTTTTTTCTATTAATGGCAAGTTTAAAAGTAAAAAATAGCAAATTCAAATGAACTGGATGCAAACCGCCATTTTTGTTTATTGAAGACTAGACTTGGCACCACATGCCTTTAAGTTGGTTTATGATCATATAGAAAGCAAGAAGCATCTTTAACTGCCTCAAGGAAGGAGAAGGGACTGGCAACAGAGACATTTATTGACATCAATCACCTACCTCTGTTGTCGTCACTCAAGAGCGTTGGTGCTTACCACAACAAGTGTTTTAAGCATTTAATGAAAGATATTGCTGTGTATTGTTTGCACATACAGTACCCTGGTTTAGTCTTTCATCAATTATCTAAGTGCAGCAATTGCTATATGAAACCATAAAGTATAACTCTTTAATAAGAAATAACACGGTTAGGACCGGATCTCCATATCAAGTACAGTACAGTACTGTACTGTATGTTACAATGACCCCATTAAAAGCTCTCTTCTCCAGGAACGTATCCCGAACTTTCAATGGGGTACAGTATTACTGTATGTGGCTGTAGAGGAGAAGGCAGTTTTGGTTTATCAGGAACACAAGAGCAGAGAAGACAGCTGCTCAGATGGGTTAATGGGTACTGAGTCAGATCAACCATGTGTGCCGAGTACCATGGTTCAAGACTTCAATATCTCCATCTTTACCCTTTTGCTGCGATTCCCACACATAATAATTCTATTCTAGCTAAAGCCAGAAAATTTTGTTCAGCTTAAGAAAACCTCCAGCACCCAAAGGGTTAAGGTAGTTTCTAGTACCTGTATTAACATCTCAGGCTTCTTGAGGGAGCCATTATTGGTGGTAAAAATATGAAGTCAAGTCAGCTTGTAGGACAAATATTCTGATACATAAGATATTTTCTCAAGATGAGTTCCATGCGGGAAAAATGAAAAGCACGACAAACATCCACGTGTGTGAACCTTAGCCCAGCATAAACAAAATTTGGGTTGTAAAAAGAAAACTTGTGTTTGGGTGAATCTGATTGATGCAAAACCAACATAAATGTAAGTGACTTGTATTAAGTTGAATGTTAAATGATATATAATGCAATACAATACATACAGGGTTTTCACCAAATATTTAATGAACATAGCCAAATTAAATTATAATGTAAAGGATTAAAATAAGCAGGAAAATAGCAGCCTTTGTAAGGATTCTGGCAGCATATATGGTGCATTACTCTGAATCAAAAGTGATAGCTTTGCTATCTGAAACAATTTGTGCAGAGCACTTTCTGGAATGAGAGATTTCCGGGTAACGAGTACTCAAACCCGGAAAAATATTCCCCATCCCCGGAATTTTCTGGGTGCAGTATAGTCTGGGTTTACGCGGCTAATTCAACCTGTGGAGGTCTGCGTATAACGCGAAACGCGTAAACAAAATAACAGAACATATGGGATTAATTGAAATAGAGACTGGGCCGACCGCCAGACAACCCTTTTTCCAACACAAAACGTACGTTGTAGTAAAAATAACATTTTAATTTCATGATGGTATGCACACAATTAATATTTAAGAGAAATATCAATAACATTAGGTTTTTTAACACTTACGTTAGTAGAAGAGATGGCTGGGCACACGGGGATGGGGGGGGTTGGTTCCAAGGCAGAGGGCAGATTATTATTGGCCCTCACCTGTATCACCTGTATCACTATCCACCACAGAGGCTAGCAGGGCCTCCTTGTCAAACCCCTCACAGTCCACATCCTCACTATCACTATCACTGACTTGGGCTGGGTGTGGTGGGCGGGCACGAGGGAGTATACGCGGAGACGGGAAACAATGGGACTGAAGCAGTCAAGGTCATCACCCCTGGTGGCAGGGCAAGCAAAGTTAAATAGACCAATCACAGCTCGCAGCAGAGGGGGTGTGTGGGTGGTAAGGATACGTGGCCCAATCACAGTCCGCGACGTCATCGGCACAAGTCTGACGTCAGCAACCAGCAGCTTGCCGTGTAAATTAAGGAATGTACCGCATAACTAATAATTGGCGCGTCTGGACAGGTGCCGCGTAAATGGCCAAACGCGTAAAAAATATCCGCGTAAACCCAGACTATACTGTACTGGGAAAATTTTCTCAGAATTTCCCAGAAAATGTGCCCCTCGGAAAATCGTTCCCAAAGCCGGAATTTTCCGGAAAATTCCGAGAAAATTTCAATTCCAGCTATCGGAGAGTTCCTGTTAAGAGGGATTCCGGCTAACGGAGATATTACTGTAAAATATAAATCATACTGAAGGTAAGAATCTACAAAGAAAATACAAAGGCAATAAACCAGGGCTATAGATATGGTAACTAAGATGAGAGTGAGAGTTGTGCTTGTGTTCTGAAGACTAATAAAAGGCTGTATTGGTTTGATCTACTACCTCGGTGAACTGTGGTTCTTGATTTCTTTATTCCCCCCAAATTAACGTAATATTTAGTCTGCAGTATATAGTTAAACTTTACCAGAATTAATGCATCATGAAACATTTTAATTTTTTTTAGCTAAAATGCCAGAGTGGGTCTGTACGCATGGAATATATTACAGTACTAGGCACAAAGTGGTGGATTGATCCTGAAATCTCATTTCATTATAGATAATACAGAGTGACCAATATTTATGCAGTCAGCTACTCTATGGGATTAGAACACAGGTAAAATCCTTCTTAAGTAGTGGCTAGTGATTAACAAAGGATTACACACACCTTCCTGCCATACCCAGAGCACTGAGAAGGTTACTCAGATATGGGTGATGCCTGTTAATGTAGAAACCTAACATAGGTTCCAGATCAGTAGTGCACACCTCGGATAACCTAAACTTCCAAGACCAAAATGATTCTCAGTGCCAACCACTTTGGAACAGAATCTCAGTTATAGTGGAATGACCTTGAAATCATCTTTTTTCTGGCAGGGCCTATAATCAGGTGGGTCTCATAAGACAGCCTGCTTACTAGGGGGTTCCAGGTAGTCAGACAACCCTTCCAAATGCCAGCCAGGGTTAATCTAATTCCAGGCTGCCACTTTCATACCTTGTGAAGGAATCCAGTGTTCAAATATTGAACATATAGAAGCCCACAGTAAACCCTGAAAGATCCTGTTATATAGTAAACAGATTTGATGACCAAACATGCTACATTACTGAAATTCCAAGCTGGATAACTCTGAAGGAATTGAAATGCCTCTTTTTTGCCTCGGGCAGATCCCACATCTAGCATAAGATTGCAGTACTGTATTTTATAAAAAGATAAGCTAAACTATGCTCTGAGAAATTACAGGACCAAAACACTTAGCATTGGGCTGAACACAAACTTGCAGTAGTGTCCAGATGAGACAATGTAGATTTATGATGAATATGCAAGTTCTTGAAATCAAAAGTAATTTTCATGATTTGTAATCATATAGGAACACTTAGTGAATTAAACATAATTGATATGGATTCCAAGTAACAATACAAATGTAAGTCACTGTCAGATAATGGGGAGCCAACCCAGCAGAGATCCTACACCCACTTATTTGCATAAATGCATATGAACTGTGCTACTACAGTAGATATAAAAATTGGGAGATGTAAAATGGGTCTGATAGTTGTCTTATTCACTAAATGAGGTTGTAGGTTTTTTTATCCGTGCAAGTTGTGGGTGTGTTACCCCCCACAAACCCATCACTACTGTACCTAAGACCTGTAGAGGAATGGACAATAAACAATTACTACTCCTATATGGTGTTCATCTGACCTTGAACTGGTCACAAGAGGCTAGAGAATGGCTAAATGCTCTATGGGAAAGACATAATATATTGGCTCAGCTGCAAAAACAAAGAGGTGGGGTACAAACACCTGATACTGGTAAACAGGTGTCAAAAATAAATATTAAATAAAAGTTACTGATAATTCAGGATTTTATATACCAATTTTCAAGAACTAACAACATTGATTTATTGTTTACCAAACTGAAAACTTTCAATAATCATTACACAAACCTTATGAACATAAACAGTCATTCTAGAAAATACACAACAAGAGTTATGGTTCTGAATACTTCAGGGAGAAACAATTATGTTATGAATGATAAAAGAAACATAAACACTTATTCAAATTCTGGTAATAATGCCAAGAACTCAAATTGCTAGTTATTAGCAGCAAAGGAATAACAAGGGATTGCAAAGGTTCTGTTCAATCACTTGAGCTGTCAAGAAACCAATTGGTCCCAACACCACTTTGTCTGACAAGGCCAGCAGCCCAACAGCTTCTCATAATACAAGCTACTGTATTTATTCTAGAATTCTGTCCTCAGACAATCAAGTTAAGTCAGCCACAGTTTATTCATTATCCCATTTAAATACATCAAATACCCTCATCATAAAATGAAGATCAAGTTCAACAGCTGTCACCTGGACAAAGGAGGTCTTTTTACAAGTCATATTTGACCAATTAGCAAACTTTGCACCACCTTTTATTCTGAGGGGTCAAAGCTGCCTGGCTACAGGCTCTGCCAGAGAAAGGGACTTATGTCAATCCTACACATCTGGCTTAATACCTACCTTTGCTAGGTGGTTCTTGTAATCCAAAGAGAGATAAGTAGGTGCTAAAAGGCTCCAGAATCAGTTACCAAACCCTATTTATAGCCTTCGATAAAGGCCGAGAGTGCTTAATACTTCAAGTCAGAGTGAACCATATATTCTTATCAGAAATTAGTTATGTGAAATTGTCTCCAATGCAGGAACCATGATGCACATACAGTACTGAGTGAACTGGGAAGAGTGGTAGGGGAACCAAGTCATTCTCTCACCACACCCAATAATTTAAGTGAGCCATAAACAAACCTAAAACTATAATTCACTCACTAGAAGAGTAAAGGAACTAAATCTGCATAAAATTGAACAACCACACCTGCGGGATGTGGATGTGTACTGTTTAGCATATATATCGATAAAACAAATGAATTGTAACTCTCCACTCCAGCTTATCATTGAAATTTTAAGCAAAACTGTTTCATGAACAGAATTACAAAAGAAACCATAACTGTGGCAATGTCATAAGCTCACTACAGTACTTTCCAAAGGGTGGAATTAGGGAAATGATTGGTGGAATGCAAGCGTCCCCTCCCCCCTTCCCCTGTCCCACATCCTGGTAATACACAGCTGTGTGGTGAAAATTCGTCCCAGAAGAGAAGAGTGCAAGTAAGTGATTATTACTAAGTAATAATATGAATTAATTTGTGAGAAAAGGGTCAGTTTTAAATGGATACCTAATATTTATTATCAAAAGTAAATTATTGAATTTAACATGAAATTAAATTATCATATGTAATGTCAATATTAAACATGTGATGCTGAGAGCTCACAGGATATACTGGTAACCTTTGCAGATATTGGGACTTAGTTTGTTCACAACTTTGGTTGAATGAACAGTCTTACATTAAGTAAATAATTACAATGAACCTTTTCAGCCCTTGCATTATTTATACTCACTGCAAATCCACAATAAACTCTGAAGTCATAACATTAACCTTTTCACCGCGTGTCACGCACTTCCCATTTTATTCTGGCTACTGCCATACGATTTTATTAAGTTTAGGGTTAAATAGAGTAACTTCAACATATTTAAAACAACATAATTCTTTGGACCGAAGCCTTTTCATTGCAGTGAAATAAAATGTACGCTGTCACACAAAGATGCTCTTTGTCAGAGAAACCTTGCTATAAGAAATTTTCCACACAGGCAGGGTGACATCTTAACCCTTAAGTCCCGGGTTAGGGTGCTGTTGGCAGTATCCCCCGTGGGGATAAATAAAAAATATATATTCCCCCACCCCCCAAAAAAATAATAATAAATAAATAAATAAATAAAAATGGTGGGAAAATAGGCGGACGTTCTGCAACGTCACCCGGAGCCTAAGGGTTAAAAGACAATAATGTAATAATTAAATATGTGTTGATACAACAAAGAATTCAGATGATGACAGGGCAGTGATACATCTGACACCTTAGTCTAGACAATTTCAACATAACCTTCTTGGTGTCTAACTGAATAATGTTAACACAAAATTCCTTTGCCTTATTCAAGTCAGAAGAATGATAACTACAGTAAACCTTCGGTATAACGGACACTGTATATAATGAAACCCAATTATAACGGACACACCAAACCTCAAGATAATGAACATGAGTTTGTTATCCTGAAGAATTGTCCAATAGTTCGTCACTGCATAAACACTAATTGGAAGAACTGTTCTCTAATATGTAATATAGAATATGAAACTATAAAAATAAAATACAGTAAAAATACATAAAGTAACAGCCAGTGAAGTACAACAGAGGTGTTTATAGTGTGGGTGACCGGGGGGTTGTGTTTATAGTGTGGGTGACGGGGGAGGTGTTGTTTATAGTGTGGGTGACGGGGGAGGTGTTGTTTATAGTGTGGGTGACGGGGGAGGTGTTGTTTATAGTGTGGGTGACGGGGGAGGTGTTGTTTATAGTGTGGGTGACGGGGGAGGTGTTGTTTATAGTGTGGGTGACGGGTTCAAACTGAGAATCGGTAAAGCCTCTCAGACCGTCCCTCTGGTTAATGGATTGTTTGCATCTTACTCAGGGAATTATCGGATATTATCAAACGATTCTTTATAACAGAATTTTCGGCTTCAACGACCATGGTTCCCCCTAATTAGTGCATTATCACGAAGGTTTACTGTACTTTCTCTTTCAAATAAATTTAACTTAATACAGTACAATACCAGTCTTTCAAATCAGAATTAACAATAAATTTTAATGATGTTATTGTGATGCTGTATATAAAATTACCCCCAAAGGTAAAGTTAAGCATTCATTAAGATGTTCCTGGGTGTATTTTCCTTTAACATTTTCCACGCAGGATGGGCAAGTGACATCATCCACAGCTTTATGGATGAAGCTGAATGCAGGATGGGCAAGTGACATCATCCACAGCTTTATGGATGAAGCTGAACATTCTCCATCACCCGCAGCTGAAGGTTCACTTAGTGTCTTCATCCCCTGAATCATTACATACAGTATTTAAGGTGTAACGTCAACTCTGCATCATAAACAAGTGAGCCACAGTTTTGACATTTTCTAACCCCTTGTTGATGACAGTCATTTCCTACTTTCCTACTTGCTTCTGTCATTATTTTTGGTGAATGATCTATTTTGAGATATTTTTCTTCCTCAAAAGATTCGTCCATTTCTAAATCCAGGTCATCACCAAAACATTCTTGTAGGTGCTGGTCATATTCTGTCGCTGGAATGAGTGTGTTGCAGATGGGGCAGCTTGAGGTGCTATCCTTCAGGGTCACAGGCAAAGAAGAAGTATGACTGTCTACATTACTCGTTGAGGACACGCAAGATTCAGTGTTCTTGGCTCGACAAAATCTATTTAAGTACTTCTCATAGTTTAGCCCCCTTGGATTGGTGACTTTAGATTCACGAGGCACATGAGAGTCCTGAGATTCCATACTCTTTGCTTCACGATATCTATTCAAGTACTTCTTGAGTTCTAGCTTCAGTGGTATCTTTGAGATGTAGTTGTAATTCACATTACCATTAACAGGATTACCCACTTCAGGGATACATCCTTTTCCTTTTTTCCATCTTTTTTCTTGATTAACAGAAATTGCTTTCTTTGTTTCTTTCTTTGACAAGAGTATTGATCTTTTAACATTTGAATATTTCCTCTTTATTCTCTGTAATACTTCATCTTCATCATAACTCTTCCTAGTACCACTTGACTTCAGACACTGTCGAGTGCTATTTGTTGCTTTATTATGAATTCCCCTGACTTTGGGTGAATTGGACATCTTGGATTGGTTCAACTGTTTTGTGACTTTGTCTGTTATTGAACCTGCAAGAGGGTCAGCTCCTGGTCCTTCAATCTTGCGGAAAGTACCACCACACTCTTGTTGATGTCGAGCCCACCACTTATCACCTGGACCAGGGGGTCGCTTGATGGCTCGACGAAGAAGGCCAAAATATGGACGCCTCGTAGTGCATGGACCATCACATCGGTACACGTGGATGCGAAATTTATCTACTTCTTTTCTAAAATTGTGAGATATCTAACAGGAAGAAAAAAAAAACAGGATTACAGTACTGTAAAAAAAAATCCCCAACCAGTGATATACAGTAAATAAAGCAACATATAAACAAGTCACTGGCTATATATGGGACTGATCCTGCCATCATATACCCATAACTAAGCCTGGATAGAATGACTCGTGAATAGGCCCACTGAAGGCTTACAGTTTAGGGCAATACTCTGAAGATTAGCCTTTTAACACTGGACAATGAAGACCATAACAAAGAACAACAAATTGACCACCACAACAAGTAACCTGACAAGTGACACAAAATGAGAAGTTAAATCTAGCCCTTAATACATGGTAAGAAGGAACACCAATTCTGGGAGCTAACATGTGAGATTTCACCAAGAAAATATGTGGTCTGTTTTAATCCAACTCAACTATTAATTAAGATGGTGATCAACCCAAGGAGAACTCCACAGAGGGAACAGAATCATTCTATGCAGATCTGGATAACCAAAGCCTGTCTAGAACAGCTCACAGGCACCAAAGCTTGTCTAGAACAGCTCATGGGCACCAAAGCCAGCTTAAATAAAGTGGAATTGAACCTTAAAAAGTACTGTTATTTAAATAACTCTAAAATTGGAGAAATCATGAAACACAGCTTTAAAAATCCTCAGCAACAATAACAAATATATTTATTTCTTTTCAATTCCTGATTCTGATTCAGGTTATTGAAAGTCTATTGTGACATACCGGGTATTTAAGAAAAAAAAATACTGTATGCATTTTTTTTTCAAGGGGGAAACACTTTTCCTCTGGGAATTACCATACAGTATATACTCATGTCTAAACAGATGTTATATATAGTTTAACCCCTGATTTTTTGGTAAAAAAAAAGAAAAAGAAAAAAAAGTCTTGAGTTTCTCATTTACCTTTTTTTATAATTCGATCTCAGCCTTTGAGAAATACTAGGTATAATCCCAGACATAATTTGCAGCAGTTTCACTTCAAAGCGTCTTGGCTAAGACCACCACTGCAACAGCTGACGCTATGAACAGTGTTACCAACTCTGATACTAAATTCCCACCAGTAACCAACTCCTATTCAGTAAATGTGAGGAATAAATAAAATTAATACCAATACAGTACATAAAACAAAACAAAAAATACTGTACAGTATTCCTATTTGGCTGCTGGACAAAAAAATTTGTGAATCGTTTCACTACACACGGGAGACAACCAAGACCCCCAACTTCCCCCTCCCCTGTGAAGTCTTAACACACAAAAAACATTTATTCCCTTATGATAAATATTATTTTCTCACACATTCTGTACTTAAGATTGTGAGTGCATGTAACAGAAAAAAAATAATAAAGAAAGAAAGAAATAAAGAAAATTACGTACAGTATATCTTCCCCAAATTATGAATTTAAAAATAACCATCACATGGCTGACAGCTTCGCCTGGAGTGGTAGGGTGAGCACTAGGTGTTACTACTACAAATCCAAAACTAACATAAAACACTGAAAAACAAGCACAGATACGTACTGTGTAAACAAAATATAAGGAATACTATCCCAGATGTAAAGTAATGGCCTACACAGCAAGTCAAAAGGCTGAAACAACCTCACAACTCCCTGTGCCTCCTTTCCCAGCATTCATAAACCATACCACCTACCTTTCATATGTTATTTAACAATTGTGCTACTTAAAGCAACATTTGTATACAATCTAGATAAAAAAAATGCAGCTAAAACCGTCGAGGAAAAGCTAAAAGGAAATTTAACAGAACCTCCATTTGTATAGATGCTTACCGCTTGGCGTCAACCCATGCCATGGCAACATAGCCCAGCTGGGACACTGCCTCTGCCTAACCCATAGCAATGATCACCCCCCCCACCCCACTCCGTTCCCTCTTCCCGCTATTGTGCGCAAATAAATTTGAATTCCCTCTAAGTGTTTGACCTTATGAGCATTAATTGTTTTACTTATGAACTCTGTATTTATATGACTTACAGTTATCTTTGAACCTTCAGAATCATTGATCCTCTTCATATGCTTCCTGAACTCTGGCCCGTGACTATCTCGGTAGTTGAGGCCCTGTGTCACGTGCAGGAAAGCGTGGATCATCTCATGCTGAAACACCAAAGAAATTCAAACTCTTTAACTCCTTCAATACTACAGTACATCCATGATCTAACATCTTTTGGGCAACATCTCAAGAACATACAACAGTGATCTATCATAATTTGTTATGAAAGCTTCCAATGGAATATTCTGTCACACTAAGTTAATTGGTTATAAGCATTTAGAAAAAACACAAATAAAAATGAAAGTTTAAACTAATTTGCTTGATAATCACAGAGGCAACAGACCTCTTATGTCACAAAAATTTGAAACTGATTAAAAAATAAAAGCTGGATCCTGAAATTTCCAAGTTACTGTACTGTATAATTAAGCATTAGTGGTACAGGTACCGTACTGCTTGCTTTTTGTGGCCACTGATCTGTTCTGTTCTAAATTGGTAGAGATGAAATTTAAGCCAAAAACTTATCTCCTTCATTTTTCCTGGCAGCAGTACAAGGATGTCACTTGGGGCATAGGTGTGCACTTTAAGCCAGGGTTTACCTTCAATTGGGTGGTGAGTAAACTGAAGCTTCCTAACTCATGGACTGCCTTACTGTATTACCTGATATACTTACCATACATCCATTTCTAATCTTGTATTATGTCTCTTTTGTGTACTTGATAATCTGTGTTTATGATCTTTAAGTTCAAACATAAGCCTTGTATGTACAGTACCTGGTATACAGTACAGCTGCTCCCCGACTTACGACGGGGTTAGGGACCCAAATCCAGGTCGTAAGTCGAAAATGCTTAAATAACACTTAGAAAATCTAAAATGGGTGTCTCTTTTTCTTCTCAGCACCACAAAACTCTCACTTTTAAGCTTGCCAGCCATTTTAAAGTGAATTACAAAAGAAAATTTTGTCAGTACACAGCGCAATCACTGACACTGGGACTCGAAAATACGTCATTTGACAAAATTTTGGTACTACCGAGGCAGTCATATGTTCGGGTGATTGTAAGTTGGGGAGTAGCTGTATTGGGTTCATTGTTCCAAGGTTTATTGTACCCACATTCTATGTTAGACATTACCTCACAAAACTCTTATTTTTGTCACATTGTTTATCCCAAAGATGTGTGAACCTGAGAGTTTCAACTGTGAGTATTATGGCAGGTATTACTTAATACTAACCAGAAGGGTGTTAACTGTGTCACTGCGGGGCCTCTGGGATAACAGCGGCTGACTGAGGAGGATCCTGCATGATGAATGTGAATGTCCTCTCTCACTATATGATGTCTTTCCTGCACATCTGTAATACACACATGACTACTGTATTATTAAACAGAATATATGAAATAATAAACAGTGTGGTCCAAACCTCCTGTTCTGTACAGTATAATATAATGTGTAGGTATATTTGCAACTTTGTAATGTAATAGTTACTTATTGTACTGTACAGTATTATTCCCAGCAACTGTTGACGGTAGTCATTTTGAGAAAATAACATAAATGATGACAAAGCTTCTCTTGGTCATGTGCAAGTGTTTCTTGGGTGACACTGTTACAGGTCATTCAAATGGAGTATTTCAAGTGAGCAATATCAATGATTATGGACATGGGTGCCCACAGGAAGGGGAAAATTTGCAAAAAAAAAAAAAAAAAAAAAAACTGCACATATGGCATATTCAGTGTTAATTATTTAAATGGAACACAATTCTTTATCATTTATGCAATTCTACAACCAACATAAATTGTATTGAATTTTCATTCAATTCTGAGCTCACTGGAAAATGGTGACATGTCCGAGGTCTTAAGAGCCTCTTGTGGGTGGTAAGTGGTGGATGTATGTACACACACTGCCACCAGGCATTCTAAATTTGCAAAAATAGTTATCATTACAAATGAAATGTGCAAGAGGGGAGAATAGGTTAACATATTCACTCACACAATCCTGTCAACAGGATGTAAAAGGAGGGAAACCAAAAATGGGACAAACCCTACATGACAACTGGATACAGTGAGTCTTATATACAGTATAATACTGTATATGCAATTACAGAATCACACTTAATTATTGCACAATACATATTATCATGGACAGACCCAAAACATTAGTACAGTACATCATAACGTTTAAAGAGTCAGTTGGTGTATAGGCATGACCTGGTGTCTAGACAAGTGCAATGTTTACATACAAACACACTGGTTCAAAAAAATTTTCTTGCTCACACAAATGTATCACCTGACCCTCTTATAATGATCACGGTTTGGCAAGATACAAAAAGGACATGTGTCTTCTTAATTTCAAGTGGTACACCTAAGGTCCCCATGAACAGGATATGTTAGCCCCTTTCTTAACTAATACGTACAGTATACTATATCAATGCTCCAGTAAGAAGATTCACAATAAACCATTAACACTTTCAAAGTGATTTAGCAGACTATAGCCTCATGAAATACCACTGACTGCAACCTTCTCAACACTGTCAATATAACTCTGGTATACACTAACATCTCAGTAATAAACTGAATTATGAACAATTAATTATAGAGTAACACTAATCTTCTCAGCTGACCCACATAAAGGCAGCAGCAGTACTGCCCCCGTGATATGAAGTCTCACTGGTCCTCAAGACAATCACTGCATCAAATGAGATTGAATATTCTATCTAAAATTAAATGAGTGAGAAAGACGCTTGTATTGCAAGTCTCCTTCTGGTATGGGTCTCACAGGTATCACTGATCACCTGTATACTTTAATACTGTATAAGAAATTATTAGCTACTGATAACATTTTATCCAAATCTATTATACCCCATCAACCATCTCCACATACTGTATAACCAACTACCTGTACAATAATATCTCCGTTAGCCGGAATCCCTCAAAACCGGAACTCTCAGATAGCCGGAATTGAGATTTTCTCAGAAAATCATTCCCAAAGCCAGAATTTTCCGGAAAATTCCGGCCAGAGAACGATTTTCCGAGGGGCACATTTTCCGGAAAATTCAGAGAAAATTTTTCCGATAGCCGGAAAATTCCAGGGATGGATTTTTTTCCGGGTTTTAGAGATGGAAATCAAGTGCATTTTCTGGAGATTACGAGAATTTTTTTCCGTTACACAAAATTCCGGGGATGAAGGATTTTTTCCGGCTTTGAGAGAGCCGTCTCATTACCCGGAAGTCTCTCATTCCCGGAAGTGCTCTGCACCAACTGTTCCGGCTAACAGAGATATCACTACTGTAAAGTACTATAATAGGTTAGAAGTGTTATCAACATACAATGTCATGTTTGGACTCCAATTGAGTCTAACTTTGCCAAGCTGACCCCAAAAGAACTTCTTGTTGAAGTGGGCAAACATGTCCCATATTCCATGATCTTCCTTTCCCGCCATTATCACTGGTTATGTCTCATACAGTGATCGCCAAATTCCTTTAGCCTGAAACAGATACAGTATACGTCGAGTTTAGAAAATTTAAATTAATTATTAATTTCATAAGAAACACAAACATTGTCATTCAAGATATTATCAATTAAACTGTCAACAAACCTAAGTGCGATTTATACTGTACTGTACAGTACTAATACAGTACTGTATTCACTTAATTATACTGCCACCAGTAGAAATAGTTCCAATAATTTATTTATATTTTAGACTAGCAGAAACGCTTATTCGCTAGGCCATGGTAGGACGCCACCCTCCGGGAGGCTCCGCATTGTCTCACTGTTCAATCCCCAAAACTTCTTCTTCCATCAATAGTCCATTAATGGTGTATGTAAGTTCCACCATGTTTTTCACTACAACAGTACAGCAAAGTATATTTTTTTAGCATTAAACTGTTATTATTTTATTGTCTAATCATCACTACATATAACACCACCCATCACTACATATAACATCATCCATCAACACTCCATATAACACCATTCATCATCACTATATATAACACCATCCATCATCACTACAGATCGGTAAAGTAGTTTCCGAGATTCTCGTGTGGACACACAAACAAACACACATACAGACATACTTCTTTGTTTTATATGGATAGATTCATTGTTAATAATAAAAAATTAGCAGTGATCTTGAAATAGTATTTTCCAGCGGAGACTACAGCCACGTGGGTCCCATAACACAGGCAGCTGGCTTCTTACTGGGGGTTTCCTCATCCTAACAAAATCCAAAAATGTCTACCAAGGTTGATCCATTTACCCGTTTTGCGGTCCGACTAATTACCCAAATGTACCCAAATATAGCCGCAATGAAGTCAAATAATGGTCCTACATGAATAAATCGGACTGCCAATCACTTCTCGACTAGTATTTGGTGTCACAAAGTCACAAAAAATTGGAAAACTTAATTTAATCTGAGTTGTGTTGTGTTAGGTTAGGTTAGATCAGATTAGGTTAGGTTAGATTAGGTTAGGTTAGGTACAAGCACTTGCTCTATTAACTCAGATTAAATTAAGTTTACCAATTTTTTGTGACTGTGTGACACCAAATACTAGTCGAGAAGTGATTGGCAGTCCGATTTATTCATGTAGGACCATTATTTGACTTCATTCCGGCTATATTTGGGTAATTAGTCGGACCCCCTGTCCTTACCTCACCTCTCACGTTGTCTCCACCAAGTCTTCCTCCTTCTCTCAATTATTATCAAATCAGGAGAGAATGAGTAAAAATAATAATAGTTTCCACTGACAGTCAACCACATCTCAATAACGCTGATAGGAGTTACCTTATTTCACTTATTTTAGTTGATTAACTTAACTTATTACGTATTTTAACTCACCATAATATAGAGTGAGTGTTGTCTTAATTATCACTTCCGGGTCGATGCCATTTTTGGCTTATTATGGCTTAAATTAACATAAAACCGATGAACAAATGGAATTCTTGGATTAAAAGCTCCACCATGTTTACATCTGAGTCAAATGAAAACTGAAATAATTATTATTTTTTACTTAAATTATTATCAATTACTATCTATTAATAAATTGTCTTATAACTTATAATAAAAAATAATCTCTAATTAATTAGTGACTTAACTTGTTTTTATAATCTACATTTATTATTTATTAACTACAACGCTTACTTGATCATAATAACAAAGGGACCAATTATATAAACGTATTTTTCAATTAATTTTCTTATTTTTAAAGTATTTTTGACAATTTTTAGATTAATTATATTTATTTATTTTTGTTATTGATATTTTTGTCGATAAATTGTCTTAATATGTAATTTCCAGACTTTGGTTACTTGGAAACCCTCTAATTCTAATCCCAGAATTATTATTAATATTATATATATATATATATATATATATATATATATATATATATATATATATATATATATATATATATATATATATATTATTTAATTTTTTATATTTTGATTGATTTATTATTTAATAATAATTATTAGTTAATTATAACATTTCTAAAAATATCATATATCTCTTAGCTTCAAAAATGAGAATTCTCTTGTGGTTACCCAGCAGCTGAAGAGCATTGATCACATCAACTGGGAGAGAAAAGCAACTTTTCTCACACTTGGGTCTGAGTTGAAGGGAAGCTTAGCGCGCAGCATTAAACAGTTGCCAGTTTCTTTTTGCCGTCCCTGTTCCTGTAATATTAAAATAAAGCTCACATCGTATTTATCTAATATTATTTGTAATTTTGGTTCATCTATAAATTATTTTTAGCATTGTTTATCAAATATTATCGTTGCGTTACCATAATTCTCACTAGAAAAACCAACAAACATATCACCTCTTGGTATCGTGGTGTACCTTGACGTGTTTGAAGACAGCCACTGACAGTCAGCTGTTGGCTCTGTTAACGTGTGTACGTACGCGCTGGCGTTGTGAGGTGCAAGTGTTACTGAAGGTCCTGGAGTGAATAACTTCTTTTGTTTACCAGAGATCGGTGTTTGGAATGTCTCTTTGTATAGTTCGGCTTGGTAGGCAGCGTTGACTTGTCCAGCAGTGTTCGCATCGCCAAAATGGGGGATGAATCCAGTGTTCGCGTATCTATCAGGTGAGTTGTCCCCAACGTTCCACCCAAGGAACGTTGCCTACGTTGTGTGTCTCCTTTCTTCCGAATTTAACTCACTTAAACAATTGGCCAAATTAACCTGGTATTTTACGAGTGTACACCTTTTCCTTATTTATAGGATCTCTGATAACGTTATATTGGCCAGCAATTGTTCCGTTTCAGATAATTAATTACCTTCTAGTAGGTCTACGAGCGATTGGGTGACAGAGTTGTGGTGCTGGAGATAATAATGGCTATATATACATCTTGTACTCTCCTTACACTTAATGGTAGCTTTTTTTTGGGGGGGGGGGGGCACTCCCCTACATCCTTGTGTAAGGTGAAGCGCAGAAGCGTTTACAGCTCCCAACAGGGAAGCATGCTAAGTTCATGCTTGCCTTTATGTCTCATGAGTTAAGGGCGTAGCTTTGAAATGATATATGCAGGGATCTTGACCCCTATTTAAGTCCTGAAGATGTGTATGTCTGTCTGTCCCTTTAAATAAAGGTCCTAGATCCAGATACTGGTAATAATATTGAATTAATACCAATTGCAGTATAATATTTAATCTGGATCTACTGCTGATCGGTAAACAATGGTCCTCGAAGTGCGAATTAGTTGAGATCCATTAAAGTTTACAATGGCTACTTAATAGTCAATGCCGGATGACCAAGGCTGCGTACAGATACCTCTAAGGTACCACCAATTATACACATATTAACAACGTATTATGAATCCCATGACTTAAGATATTATTATCGTAGTAATTTAATATACTGTTATTAATAGTTAACATAATTCCAAACCGTGAGACTCATAACTCATATCTACAAGAACTTATTGATATACAATCTTTCATGACTTTAACTTATATTTTAAGGTAATTAGCCCGGGCTATATATGAGTCTTGACTTCATTTTACTTGTTTTCGAAAGGGCAATCTTCTTCAAGTTTTGCATGTTTTTTTTTTCTCTCAAAGATCCCTAATCGGTCCCCCATGTTTTTGCCCATTTTACATCTGTTTACTCACATCACCAACAGAAACTTGCTTTTTTATACCACTAATGTCTGACAGTCAGGAACGTATACTTGTAAGTCATACCAAGTTGTTGAAGGTCCACAAGCTGCGAGTATTGACTGCAGCACAGACTCAACCCAAAGGTGCTGTTACTTTGTTGTTTAAATCCTTACTCATTAAATATTATTATGGCGTGTTGCGGCGTGAAGTTGGAAAACATCACATTTCTCAGATGAATGAGTCGGTGTTGCATGCCGTTTCCTCTCAGCTTTTGCTTTGACGGAAAAATGGTTAATATTGATGATTGACCCTTCGCAGCGTAATATGTTTTGATGGACCCTTTGTTTCTATATTTTCATCGCTGAGTTCGGATATGTTCATTTCTTGGGCAAATGCTTCGTTTGGTAGATAATTATGTCCCTAGTCAGCATAGCGACACTACCTCGTCTTTCGAGGTTATAAAACGGTATGGAGTCTGATCGAAGTCCGAGTTTGTATCGCTGTTTGTTAACGTGCCGAAGGCGCTTCACCCACGTCCACAAAAAAACAAACAAGAAATTCACAATATTATAAGTTCTTTCTGTTTAATATTCCTGGGGGTGTGGTAAGGTTAAGTAGGTTTCTTTGGTTAGGTTGGTGCGGTCTTCAAAGAAGGTTTCGGTTGCTTGTGTTTCTTGTTAACTAAGGTTAGGTTTAATTTAGAAATAATCCCATTTTAACACATTTGACCAAACTACGAGTGTCCACTGCAAAACACAGTGATATTCCGGCTTTTTAGCTTAATTTTCCATAAAAAACCGGTGACTGGTTTGTCGTCAGTAATTACCTACATTGTCTTTTAATATTTGAAACTATTCTGTATGTCTCCTGTAACCACGACTATTACCATATATTAGGCTGCTCATCCTTCCGTAACTTAAAAATTCCCTGAAGGCCATAAAAACGAATGGGTTGTAGAATGTATGAGAAATATGATTATTTGCAAGAATTTTCTTTTGGTTATACTCAGCTGCAATTTTCCCATTTCTCACATTTTATTCTTTTTTATGGTTGCTTAAATAGCGAAGAAATTCAGTTTGCTGGCAGTTGTACTATTAGTAATGTTGCTCGTCAAGACTTGTAGTTATCCATGTATCTCTTCTCTTCCTTTATTTATCGTTGTAATATTCATTTCAGGTAGCACGAAAACACAAATCTGTAAAAGTTATCCAAACGTGTTGCACAGTTGGAGTTCAGGAGATACGTTATTCTGTATTTATAGAGAACATGTTAGTTATTGTAAACACGTACGGTAGTCCTTAGAGTAAGATTACACATAATGTATTTTCACCCTGTCACGCGGTATTGGTCATCCTTAAATATGTAATTAGGGAGGTGTTGGTTCCTCCTTGCACTCCGGTATTGTCACCTTCCTCTCTGCACTGTTTGTGTAATTATCTCTACCTCCTCGTAGCGGCTTCAGCTCTGCCATAACCATGAGTGTGCCCAATAAACTAGCCCCCTCGGGGGCAAATCTGATAACCATGAGTCACCACCACCAGTGACAGTCACATATGTCGACCTTGGGTGTGTAAGATAGCAAGTGTTGTGTCTCACCCTCCAGATATGCTGAGAGCAGGTGTTGGAGAACTGAGACACCTGTGGGTCCCGCTTGCCAAACTTGTTCACTGTTGTTATCGCAGGTTTTTGAAGGGAATATGTTCACTGTTCACTAATCATTAACATGGTAGAGGAAAATGTGCCAGTTGGTCGCTGTTTGTTATAGAAATATGATAAAGTTACTGTATTTTTTTACATTGACTGTAATTTGATACAGTATAAAGGAAGCTGCATGACCCAGTGTCAAGGAACGTCTGAGAAGATCGTTCAACTCGCCAACTGCACTGGCTAACCATTACCCCGGAACACAGTCCGCATATCTATTAACATCCAGATCCCTTATTACTGCTGGGTAGACAGAAACAATTGGCGTAAAGAAACTTGCCCATAGTTTCACCCTGCCCGGAGATCGAACCCGGGTCCACTCGCTTGCCAGGAGAGCATGTTGTCCATTACACCACAGATATTAATGTTCATTCACATTTTATAAGTTTATATTTGCATTGACAGACTCGGTGCTATTTTATAACAGTATTTAACTAAAATACATTATTTGTTAAGTATTAATTCACCAGACTTGAAGGTAATTAAGAGTGCTAATGCCTCATTTAAGTGTTGGGATTTGTTTGAGTTTGCTATGAGGTAAACACAGGAAGTTGAGTTGCCGCCACCATAAGCAACATTACTCTGAATGATGTTGTCGAGAAAATTACTTGTCTGATCGGTGTGCCCGCGTAGTTGTTTGTTTGCACTCATGGTCGACCGTCTGGAATTTTGCTGAAATGTATATAAATAGGCGAGATGAGAGAGTGTTGTGTGTGTTGTAAGAACAAGGAGATACTGGTGAGACAGGTCTGGTCCGTTCAGGTGTGGGAGAAAGTGGTCACCAAACACGTGACTCGGGATGCACGTGCCATCGAGGTAAACACACACCATTTAATTATATTTATTTTGGTATCTAGACAATTAATCCAAACTGACAATTATTATTTCCCACACAACTCTTGATACAGTTACAGCCAGGATGGAAATATTATGTTCGGGGTTTTTATTTGCCCAGGACTAGTGAAATTTCCTTACCCTGCTATTTTTTCCCTTGCCTTGTTAGTTGTTTATGGAAATTTACTAGCCTTGGTATTTTGTTTTCAGTGAGGTTGTTGGGTGTTTCATGGTCATATGTGGATTTTGTAATGAAAACAGGTAAAACTACACGCCTGTTTTATTAATATATACCTGTGTATGCTAGAAATGAATAAATAAAATATACCGGTACCAGTTACAGTATTCACGTGATACCTGGTATAGTACACATCATACCATATCAAGATACCAGAGTTCCACAACATTACTCTATAAATACCAGTCATATAACCCACTACGCATTATAAATTATATCCATACTGTATTATCATAAACTACCCCGCTTATAGAGATGGTTCTAGGTCAGTTTTAATCACGGTATTCTCACTCTCATGTACACTAATTTTACCGTGGTATAACTGCAGGCTGTCTGAGGTTGATGGCTGCAATACTAAAACTTAACACCGGGATTTTGTTTTCGTTTTATTCTACAAAATAAACCATGAATACATTTATTTATTTTCAGTTTCTCGTCTGGTAAAATAAAAATATTTGGAGTTATCTGAATTTGCATGTTTGTATCCAGTATAAAGGTTCTTCAGTCTATGTTGCCTTCATATTAAACTGATGAATCTAGCATACATTTTTTTTTGAACACCCCGGTTTAAAATGATAGGTCTAACACCGAGTATTTTAGTCTAAACAAATTTACTCCAAACCCACCAAAAATAATCAAGAGAATGACCCGGAAACTCAGATTTATGGTTGTATGAGTATATGGACACAAAGTAGTACCTTCAGCTGTGTATTATTATATTACTCTTATATTACTCCGTTAATTATGTATAGTAAAGTATTACAGAACATGTATTAATTCTATGTAATATTCCATTTATTGTGCACCATTTTATGTATATAAATTATCATATTTATACTTTATGTATTCAGCTTGTGAATGCTGGCATCTGTACAGGCCAGCGCGTAGTAATGCACATAGAGAGAAGACAGAGTCCTCGTGGTGTGAACGCGAGCTTCTGCGTCCTACTGTATATATATATCTCCCGTACGAGAATAGAACCTACTTTTAAGACAACAAGTGTTTGTGTATACCCTCAGTAGTATAGAACATTTTGTGGGTATCCGTGACACACGTAAGAATGGTAAACACAGATTTAATTGTATTTCCTGGAATCTGTAAAATCGATCCTTTTTCATAATCTCTCTTTTGTGGATTTAGTCGATATGCTGATTGCCTAATGGGTTGTACATCATCAGAGATTAGCTTAATATCATGTTTAAGTATATT